TTTTTTTTTATTGAGACAGAGCCCCATGTAGCCCAGGTGGCCTCAAACTGTCTGTATAGCCAAGGGATGACCTTAAACATTAGTTCCTCCTCCTTTCACCTCCCATGTGCTGAGGTTACTTGTGTACAGCAGCATGCCTGGTTTTATGCAGTTCTGGGATCAAACATGGGTTTTGTGCATGCTAGGCAAGCACTGTCATAACTGAGCTCCATCTCCCAGCCTGTAAGTTCTTTATTTTGACTCAGAATGCACACATGTGGAGCTGGGAGTGTAGCTTAGTGGCTATCCATATATGAAGCCCTGGGTTAAATCTCTAGTACCTCTCCACCCTGAAAAAAATCCCTACAAAATTTCCAAAGAGTCAAAATGTATAAATGTGTGGTGACTCTTTCTTCTGGGGCTTCACCTGGGAGACTTGCTTATTTGCAATCTTACAAGGCTTCCTTGCATAAACAGTTCCTTTAATGCACAGCTTGACATTTCCTGTCCCAGTCTCTTTAAGGTTGAAAGGAATCCTTAACCTAGGAGTATAAAGTTTTTCAGGATTTATTTTTTCCTGCCTTTATATTTGACACCTATACCTATTTTAATATAACTAAATAGTCATAATTATACCCAGCTGTGTGTGTATGCTTGTGTGTGTTTGTACATGTGTGCTTGTGCGCACTGGCAGAAGAACAGCTGTCTCCACACTCCCATTAAATCAGTTGACATAATATTTAATTGTACAATATGATTCCCTTAGCAAGGAACATGGGCATAAACAGGTTTCATAACTCACTCCAGTGAATCACAGAGAGCAATGACTCACCAATGGCAGCATCTGTGGACTGATGAGAATTTAGCTAGTGAAAGGCATCAGTACACCACGGAAGGACTGGGTTAGCCAAGCCAGTCAATTAAGTAAATTTTGATTAGGAATTAACTAGTAGCATAAAGTGAAATTCCACAGTACTAAGAGTATCTGAAACTTGGATGACAGGAAGTAAGGTAGCTACAACCTTCCTATTCCCCTCCCCAAGGAATGGAACCACAATGGTGTGTTGCAAAGCCAGTGCCTGAAGGACTTAGGAGGGGTGGGAAGTCAGACTTCCTCCTTTTTCTCAATGGGAGTGCACAATGGGGACTGAGATTTGCACTATAGCCCTACGTCTATGTCCTGTGATGATTGGAGGAGAGTCTTCCAGTGGATGCTGTCCCTGTGTATAGTCACACACTGTTCTAGTTTGCCTTCAATTGCTGTGGTAAAAACATTGATCAAGTTGGGGGTGGTGGCGCATGCCTTTAATCCCAGCACTTGGGAGGCAGAGGCAGGCGGATCTCTGAATTCAAGGCCAGCCTGGTCTACATAGTGAGTTCCAGGACAGCTGGGGCTACAGGGAGACCCTGTCTCAAAAAGACCAAAAAAACATTGACCAAAACCAACTTTGGCTTACATCTCCTGGGTCACAGTTCATCTCAGAGGGCGCTCAGATAGGAACTCAGGGGAGGGACCTGGAGGCAGGAGCTGAAGCACAGGCCATGGAGGAACACTGCTTATGGGTTTGCTCTCCTGGCCCAAACTCAACCTGCTTTCTTATACAATACAGGACTACCTGCCCAGGGTGGCACCACCCACAGTGGGCTGGGCCCTCCCACATCACTCAACAATCAAGAAAATGCCCCACAGACATGACCTGAAATTCCCCTGGTGAGGTTCCCTCTACCCTGGTGTATCAAGTTGACAACTAAAACTATCCAGCACATACACCACATAACGATGTTTGCATAATGATAGAGCATGTCCATGATGGTCATATGAGATCATGTCATCTAATGATGTCATGGCCAGTGTAGTTTGTACATGTTCTCAGTGATGTTCAGACAAGAATTGAATTGCCCAGTGATATGTTTCTAGGTGTGATGAGTGTGGTGATCAGTTTTGAGCTGACTTTGAAAGGAAAAACCTTCCATTGTAACTGGGGCGAGGAAAGCAACCTGTGTCCATGTCCACTGGCTCTTTCTCTTCCCTTAGCAATATTAGCTAATTCTCTGCATTTGTCCCCATTTCTGAGCTTTTAAAATCTCTTGAGCAAAACTTTGAAGTCTTTAAACTACCTATTGAAATACTGACAAATTAAGTGCCTTCATGTTATTGAAGGTTTTGCCCAAGTTAAAAAGAAAATACAGCGTCTATGTCAATAAAGCTATTTTTTTAAAAGGGAAATAAAATTTGAGACATATAAACTGGATAAAGTTGAGCAGAAGTGGCAGGTTCTGATTAAGTGATATTTTGGAGACCAGTGGCTTCTAAATCCTAGGTGTCCTATAGGGCAGGTGGCTCCATGGGTCTGGTCATGAAGCCTTAACAACACAGCAAACGGTGTCCACAGTGAGTTACAGGGTCAGAATCAGAAGCTCACGCCTGAGCTTTCCACCATGATGCACAGAATGATACTAGCCCAAAGAAGAACCCATGCCCAGAACCTGTATACCTTATTTAGAAAGGAGGTTGTCACAAATGCAATTAAATCAAGGATCTTGAAGTAAGAGGATGCACTGGCTTATTGGAATAGGCCTTATACGACATCACCTGCATCCGTACCAGAGGGAGATGGGCAGGGATGTGAGCACAGGATGGGACTTCACTGCACTGCAGAGCTGTGAAGGTAGAACTGAGATTTGAAGATATTAGTCATATGCCAAGAAATGTCAGCAGACTCTGGAAGAGGGACACAGCCCTCCTGATGCTGGATTGATGGTAGTGACACAGACTCTGGAGTCTGCCTCTAGAACTGTGTGTGCATTTCTGTCATTGGCCAACTTTGTGGACTTCACACAGTAGCCACATGAGATCATATAACCATCTATTGCAGCTGCCAGCCAGGAGCATTATGGGAAAGATGCAGACAGATGCTTTGGTTGTCCTAACTCAGTGTTGGCATCTCAGTGTCCTCCAGTAACATCTGTTGGCCATAGTGACTTTCTTGACTGTGGGACAGGAGGTGTATTCTGGATATTCTGAAACTAAGTCCAAAGAAGGCCTTGTAGATTCTTCCTTTGTCTCTGGGGACACTCAGTCTTGGGACCCAGCTACCCTGGTGCAGAAAATCCAAGCATCCCCTTGGAGATAAGTGAAGGTCCCCACTTTCCATTCCAACTGGCGTCGAGCTGACAGCTATCACAGTTTACTAGCCCTGTGAGGGAGTCTCAGGAGTCATAAACTAGATTTCTGAGTGACATCCCCATGTCTTTAAAGTAGCAGCATGTTGCAGCTGGAGAGATGGCTCAGAGGTTAAGAGTGCTTGCTACTCTTCCAGAGGAACCGAGTTCAGTTCCCAACACCCACATTGGGGGCTTACAACTATCTGTAACTCCAGTTCCAGGAGATCCAACACCTTCTTCTGTCCTCTGCAAGCAAAAGTGCGTGTGCGTGCACGTGCGCCACATGCGTGCACACACACAACCTTCATAAAGCAGCAGCATGCCCCCTTTTCTGCTACGGAGGCATCCTGACCAAGCCTTTTCCTCACTTCATTAAAGTGCTTGATATTTTTGTGTCTCCTCTCTACTGTAAGCACTTGAGCTAACTCCGCAAGCAGGAAGTATACTAAAACCAAACTGGCTAAAGACCACAAGAGGCTTTCCATGACTCAGAAGCCTTTCTGTTGGCAGGAAGGGTTGCGGCTCTTCCTGGCCATGTCCCCTGTGCTCTGTCAGTTTGTTTTTCCATGAATCTTTCAGCCAAGATGACAGCTCTTATTCCTGCCTCTTTTGTTGATCTGCCAACCTATGCTTAGTAATAAGATATGCAAATATCTTAGCCAGCTTTCTGTTACTATAACAAAATATCTGAAGCAAAAAACTTGAAAGGGGGAAAGGTTTATTGTGGATAATGGTTTTAGAGGTGAAATTGTTGTTTGGCCCGTTGCCTTTGGGACTGGCGATGCTGTACATAAAAGCACATGGGCAGGGCTGGAGAGATGGCTCAGCAGTTAAGAACACTGACTGTTCTTGCAGAAGACCGGGTTCAAATCCCAGCACCCACATGGCAGCTAACAACTGTCCATAACTCCAGTTCCAGGGAATCCGACGGCCTCTTCTGTCCTCCCCGGGCATTGCACGACATGAGTGCACTCACCTACATGCAGGCAATACATGCATACACATAAAATAAAAATAATAAAATATTACAAAAAAAAGAAGCACATGGCAAGGCTAGGCATGATAGTACATGCCTTTAATCCCAGCACTCGAGAAGCAGAGGCAGGTGGATTTCTATGAGATCAAGGCCAGCTTAGGGTGGTCTACATAGTGAGTTCCAGGCCAGGTAGAGCTACAGGGAGTCTTTGTCTTCAAAAACAAACAAACAAACAAACAAAAACAAACACATGGCAGAAAAAGAAAGAAGTAGGGTCCCAGTCCCAGTGTCCTCTTGTAAGGCATACTTCTAGTCATCTGACATCCCTCTCCTAGGCCCCAGCTCCCAAAGGTTCCATTCACCACCTCCCCAAGGGACACAGGCATGGATCAAGCTTTCAGCAGGTAGGTCTGTGGAGACACTTACCAAACCATACCAGGGGAGTTTATGTCAGTCTCCCCTTGGTTTTCAGTTGCCTAATCCTTGAGTCTTCTAAGTAGACTGTCAGTGCTTTCCTCAGAAGCCACTCTTGACCCATCTAACGAACAGAGACCTAGGAGACAATGGAATACAGGAAGAGACTCTGAATTACCTGTTTTCCTTGTTTTTCTCTTTTCTTCTCTGACCAGAGACCCTCTACTGAGGTTTAGGGCCATTGCCAGGGAAGGGAGAACTCTGATGACTGTGATTAAACCCAGATGGTTCCTTCCCAGTGTCTTCATCTCATGCCGTCTTTGATTCACCAACACAGCATCCATTTTCCCCCTTTAATAAACATGGCCTGTCCTTCTTTTTCCATGTAGTTTATTTTAATGTCATACATGTTTGACTTCTATGGTAATAGGGCATCCCTACTGTCCATACTTCTTCAAGGTCATATGTTCTGCATCCAGAAAGTTTAGGTCCAGAAATAGTTCAGATTTTGGAGTATATGCTTATGTGCATGAGACATCTTTGGGACCAGAGCCAGCTCTTAACATGGAATTTGTTTCACGTTCACACATGGCCTGAAGGTCATTTTACAGAGCATTTTTCCCTGCACCTGTGTTTTTCGTTTGTTTAGAGGCAGAGTCTCCCTATAGCCCAGATGACTTGGAACTCACTATATAGACCAGGCTGGCCTCAATCTCACAGAGATAGCCTGCCTCTGCCTCTGGAGTGCTGGGATTAAAAGTGTGTACCACCATACCTGGCCTGTGCCTGTGTTTTAACTGCAAGTCCTCACTTAAGACCAAGTGTGGAATTTTCCACTTATGGCATCTAGTTGGCTCTCAGAAACTTTTGGATTTTGAAGCATTCTGCATGCCAGACTTTCAATTAAGGATGCTCAGTTTATTCTTCCTGGTGTCCTAGGACTGACTTTATATACATTGCTCCATTTGCCCCTTGAAGCATCCCTAAGGAAGAGAGACAGTCCACATCCTATAGCCAATAACTGACAAATCTGAGATTCACATCAAAATTTGTTGTTTCCAAAGCCTGCAATGCTGTGCTTAGCAGAGAGGATGTAGAGTTGCCATAGAGATGGCAAGATGTGTTATTGCTCTCCAAGTTTCCATCTTCTCACATAACAAAATGCCATTTTCTTAGCTGGTTAGACCTCTTCTTTGATACACTTTGTGTTTATAACAGTTCACTTTTTGTTGCTATAAAAAATGCCAGAGCTGGGCATGGTGGCGCACGCCTGTAGTCTCAGCACTTGGGAGGCAGAGGCAGGAGGATCTCTGAGTTCAAGACCAACCTTGTCTACATAGCGAGTTCCAGACCAGCTGGGGCTACAGGGAGACCCTGTCTCAAAATCCCCCCCCCCAAAATAAAGCCAGAGACTGGTTAATATATGAAGAAAAGACATTTATTTAGCTCACAGTTTCAGAAGTTTGAGGGCATGGGGCCATCATTGGCTCAGCACTGGTGAAGATCCTCTTGACCGCATCCTATGGCAGCTGGCATCACAGTAAGAGTGCATGTGAAAGCAAGAGATGGCATGGCAAGTCAGGAAGCCAGAGGGAGTTCGGAGATCGTGCTTGCTCTTTTATAACATCTTTTGTGCTATTTAAGATCCCATTAGAAATACCTAGATTCCTTCAGAACAGTGTCATTTGTGACTGCTTAAAGGCTGTACCACCTCCCAGCATCCTTCACTATACCCTCTAGGGACATGCCATCTCACACAGGCACAACCCGCTGTATCAGCACTTTGCACGTGCTACCAGGCAGTGTCAGGTCTCTCACCACATCCAGCATTGCTAAACAACCCTCATGGATGCTGGATGCAGAAGGAACTATGTGCCCCATTCTGTTGATGAGGAAAGAGTTCTGTTGAGTCAATGAATGTTTTGTCTGGGATTGGAGACATGGGTTGTTTCAGAACCTATTCTTTATGATAGTCTCATGAAAAATCCAAAGTGTGATTTATGGGAAATCTTATAAAAATGGAAAGTGCTTCAGAAGGCATGATAACACATGCTTGTAAAACTAGTACTTGTGAGATAGAGCAGAAGAATCAGGAATTCAAGCCCAGCCTGGACTACATGAGACCTTGTGTCAAAAAACAACAACAACAACAAAAAAAAACCTTTTAGAACAAAGAAACAAAGAGAAGGCTCTTTGGTAGACAGAGAGAAGTGAAGACTTGCCACCTTGCCTACCCACATGAGTCTGAAAACTCCAGAGGGTGCCTGGCATCTCACCCTTAACTCCAGGATTCTGCAGGTCCACCTCCTGATGCCTGCCACTTCCTCCTGAGAGGTCTGGAGGAGCAGGAAGCGCAGTGCTCCTGGGTATCCCTTGGGCTCTTGCCTGTGTCTCCAGTGCTTCCCAGCCCTTAGCTTCTTGAAGCTTCTTCTAACCGCCAGTGTCTCACTCTTGCCTTGTCTTGGCTGTGAAGGCTCTGAGGCTAAGTCCCTTTCTGTTTCTGTGAGAAGCTGGGGGTCATAGGAGTGCTGTACCTCCACGATGGCTTCGGGCGTTCATCAGCAGCACCTTCTGGAGTTAGCTTTTCCCATCCAATTCCATTCTGCTCTGCTCTTAAACACAGCAGCTCCTTGAGTCTACCTTTGTTGCTTCTGCATGAGACAGCAATGAATAGTGACTGTGGACTGTCCATACCAAGGTTCTAGTCCCTCACCTGCAAATAGCCCCATTTGGCACCACACTGAGCTGTTTTGTCATTTCTGCCTTTCGGTTGAGTTTTATGCAGATATTGAGACATACAGAAATAGAAGTCTGCTTCTTTGAAGGTAAATGTACTTTTAGGTCTCAGGGAGCACTGCTGCTGCCCTTGGCATTGAGTGGCTTTTAAGATTTATGTAACTGTTTGAAAACGTCAGTGGACATCATACATATGTTCACCGGACCTGCCATGCCCCTCCATCAGTCACACTGACTGGCAGAGGGGTGATAGCACAGCACGACAGCTTCTTGTGATGGCAGCAGTATGCACTCAGCTTGTAGTTACCGAGTGCTGACATTTCCCAGGTCTCACTCAGCAACTAACTGGTACCCAAGCCTGCCCATTCCATGACTAAACCAGATCACCAGGTGTTCTGGGGTCTGAAGTTACCACTGTTGGAAGATGCCCTTGGAAACAAAGGCATCTTTCCTCCACCAGTTCTGAGGACCTGGCTTCCTCTTCCAGATGAGGTCTTTCCAAGCAGAAGAGAATGAGACAGGGAGAAGCAGAGGGATGGAGCTTCAGGGCTCTTGTGGCTGAATGCCACCGGGCACATTTCCATGCCTGCCTTACTCCATGACCCCTGCAGCCAAGTGCAACCAGCCCCTTCCCACATGGAAGAGTAAACTTTGGGTTGTTTGTCCTGATACATTCTGAAGCCCAGAGAGCATAGTTTACTAATCCTCCCCAGCCTGCTGTAAATGCCAGGGGACAGACATGGAGCCCTGCCTCAGTTTCAGCAACCTCCAAGAGATTTTCTAGACCCCCTATAGAAGGCGCTTATTTATTTATAGGAAGATCTCAAACCCAAGATGACTTAAAAGCCCGTGGGGCCTGGGAAGAGGTACTCCTCCACCATCACCTCCATTCTGAGATACCGCCTTGAAGTTTTCAAGGGAGATGGGGTGTGCCAGCCTTACCACTAGGCATGGAAGGTTCAGGAAGCTGACCCAGCCTAGGGTGTGTTTGGTTTAGCATCTATCCTTCCCTTCACCCCTCACTGCAAATTCATCCTCAGGCATGATGTTCAAAGGACCTGTTCCTGCTACATCTAACCTCTGTACTTAAACTTTTAAAAAAAATCTTGCTGCACATCTACAAAGTAAAGGTGATCATTTTAGACAGGAAGGAGTTCATAGTGTAGTGACAGCGCTTTGGACCATATGGTGGAAAGGAGAGAGGATGAACAAATGAGAGCCCTCATGCTTCTGCTGCAGATGAATGCTAGAGACAGATGTGGCCTGGCCTGTGGCATGTCTCCATGCTGGAAATGGGAGCTCTTGTATTAGTCAAAAAAGTTGCCTAAGGACCAGGAACACCTAGAGGACAAGGGCACTAACGGCCTTTCATGTCCATGTAACTTGGAAATAGGCAGATGGCTGATTCTGTAGTGACTCCCTCACCCCACAGCCCTGTCAGCTGTGTAGCTGTTCCCTGTTCACCTGCATGATTTTGGCCTGCCCAAACACAAGAGAGGCTTAGAGACCAAGTAAGCTGGAGCAATCTCATGATACCATAAGAACCCTATGCCTGAATTCTGCCCTTAGCAGGAGACCCCTAACAGATGGGCAACCTTTATATCCAAAGGAAGGTATAGATTTGTTGACACTAATATCTGTATGTTTCTGTCCCTGCAGCCTTAGGAAAATCCAAAGGTACAGTATCCTCTGGTAGCTATGAGGCCACTTTCAGTCTCTTAAAGCAAGCGAGCTGTGTCCTAGTGAGCTCTGCAAGAGGGTGAATGTGCCATGTTTGGTTGCTTGGCCGACTTACTTAAAGCTGTGTGCCCATCATCAAAATAGACTCCAAGTTTAGTGGGAGCAAGAGGCATGGACAGCCCCTTCCCTGCCTTGTAGCCAAGTAGGTGTGGCCTACAGAACTTGACAGGATCCCCAGCAGTGGCAAAGCTGGGGCTAGACCCCACTGTACAAAAAAGATATATATTTAGATGTCTTCTGCTGGTTGATTCATATTCTAGACTGGTGCTGTATCTGTCCCTGCCCCCACCCACCTCATCTCACTCTTGGGAGGAGCCAGTATCCCCGCCCCCCGCAGGTAGGCCACATTCTGCTCTGAGGACAGCTTGAGTTCCACACCCAGGGTGCTTGTTGGGCCATTATCCCAGGGCCTGCTGGCTTTGGCAAGTGTGTAGAAGCACAGCTTGTGGACTCCCAAGCTGCTGGCTGTGCCCTGTGGTGCGTTGCCACTGTGGAAGGCTGCTTGTGCCAGGCCTGGGCTGCAGGGCTGTGTGTCAGCAGGTCCCCAGCAGCCCAGGCACTGGAGCATCACGGTGTGCATTGCTTCCCAGGGCCCAGGAGGGTGCTAAGCCTGCCGCTCTCTCCTAACATGGATTGCTTGAATGTCTCTGCTTCGTGGGGGAGGGAACATGTCACCTGTCATGCGTGGGTAAGCAGATGTCTTTGTGTCCCTCACCAGCATGGGTGTGAGGGTCATGGACACATCTTGGGTGGCTCGAAGAGGCTCCTCTGCTGGTCGGAAAGCATCCTGCACCCCGCCTTCCATGCAGCCTCCCGCCCCACCCTCCGAGCTGGCTACACCCCTGCCATCACCCCTGCCGGAGCAGATACCAGACAGCCCTGCCACTCCGGCTCCTGCGCTCTCTCCATCAGGTGCCAGCCTGCAGCCCACCCCTGAGCGCCCCAGGTAAGCCCAACCCCTGCCACTGCGGACTGGCATGCACGTTGGGGGAGCCTGGGCTGCAGCTCACACTCCAGGCCTCCTGGATTTGCTCACCATGACCCCCACTTCTAAGCAATCTCGTTTGGCTTTCTGCATCCCCTAGGAACCCAGTCATCAGCAGCACCACCCTGGATCACCATGTAAAGCCCAGGCTTTCTAAGAACAGCATCCCCAAGCAGACACAGAGGGGGTGCTCTTCTCTAGAACGCACTGGGACTTAAGTCCCCACCGTCCATGTTGCTCTTCCTATGCCTATATAATTGCCCTGCTTTGAAATTTAGAATTTCAGCCTTTCTCCTTTCCTTTCTGCTGCTTTTCATTTTGTAAGGGCTAATTTTTGCTGCTAAAGTGCGTGCAGACTAGATGAGTAAAGGTGGCAGTCACACAGCGTGCAGTGACAGTACTGCTTTCTTTCAGGGAAAGGGACCAATTCCATTCCATTGCAAGTTCAGGGAACATTACCAGAACTTTATGTACCCAAAGCTAGTAACATAGGCTCTCTGCCCTACATCTTATGTCCTAATGAGCTAAGGGGCATTGAGAAGAAATGGCAGCACCAGTATCAGTATGCCCTGGGATGCAGGGGAAGGATGGCAGAGCTGCTGAGGCATGGGCACAGGACAGGACTTGGCAGTGACAAGAGCATTCTGGAGCAGCATGCATCTATCTGTTCTCAGGCAGCAGTCCCGAGAACTAGAGAAGCTGCTCAGGCACCTGCTGCTGTGCCCTGTTAGATGATGTACATGCCCCCATGGACACAGGGATTGGGAAGCTGAGTAGCCGAGCCTGTAACTCAGTCCCTAAAATCAGATTCACTTTTTTCTTGCTTGTTTTTTTAATGAGTAGAGCACAAATGAAAGTGACAGGGAAAAGGAGACAGTCATAAATTTGGGGAGGGTTTGTTGCAGGTTTTGCTAATGACTGTGGCTCAGAGAACATGCAGTGCTGGCTTTGCACCTTCTGTGCTTCCCACCATGGGAGCTGCCAGCAGGGTAGTGAGAGCTTGGTGAGGCAGAGCCAGGCATCAGTGGCTCAGACAAGCTGATCAAGAGAGGAGGGACATATAACCACATTGACTGAGTGGTCCCCTCTTATGGCCCTCACCAGCATCACCCATCTTAGAAAGGAGACTCAGTGTTGTATAGTTTGGGACATACAAATGTCCTTTGAGGATGGATCCCCTGGGTGCTGAAGGCATTCTAGGGCTGTGATGGATGCAACTCCACAGACTCCCACTGGTGCGGATTATTGTAAAGGTCGGATGTGAAATCCCCCCTTTCCCAGGCATTCGGTTTTGTGCCTTTCCTTGGGCATTAGTGTTTTTTTGTTCCATACCAGCCTTCTTTTCCCTTGCTATATGGATCCCTCTCAAGACAAACAGGTGCCCCACTGTTTTGTTTTTATTTGGACATTTGCAGTCCAGATGATGTTGCCTCCCCTTGCCGGATTCCGGACATGTCTCCCTCTCCTGGAAGATGGCAGGCCATCCCTTCTTCTCCCAGCCTCGGGCCCTGCCTTCCATCAGGTTCTCCCTCAGCGTTCCTTTCCACTGCTTGGCATCAACGCTGACCCCAAATTCTGTTTCCTGCCCTTGACCCAGCACACTGACTCTCATGTACCCAGAACTAACTTCCCACATGCACCTTAACTGTGCCTTCCTCATCAGGCACTCCTAATAACTGCCCTCCACACCCCTCTTCCACTGGGCCAGCTACTCCTGTGCTGGAGAGAGGAGCCAGGCTCTGTAGGTAAATACTCATTTCTCTACTGGGGATTGATTATTAGGCAGGAGGAAGCAAAGAGAAGAGCTGATTCCTTCAGATTTAGAAACATGCCTTGTTTAAACACAGGTAGCAGGGGTCTAGGACCTACCTCCCAAGTGATGTTTTTGGTGTACTAGTTTGATGTTTTCTTTGGTTGGTTGATTTAACTTCTCTGGATGGTGGCAGAGGTAGATATTTGGTTAATTTCCAGGTATCTGATGACCTTGAGCTTAAGGATGAAAGGCAAATCCTTATCCAGGCTGCCCGATGCAAGGATTTTATGTTTTGAGTTTTTCATTTGTAGAATAGAAAAAGAAAGTTTTAATGCCAAGTGTGGTGGTGCATGCCTTTAATCCCAGCACTTGGGAGGCAGAGACAGATGGATCTCTGTGAGTGCAAGGCCAGCATGGTCTACATAGTGAGTTCCAGGCCAGTTAGAAGCACAGAAAGACTCTGTCTCAAGAAAATAAAAATAAAACAAAATAAAACAAAAAACTTTTACTTTTCTGGTTTAGATAAAATTATGTGCTGTTGTTTTTCGTCCTTTGGAGGACTCCCTAGGTGTAACTTAAAACTCATTTAGCAAGGGAGAGGACAGTCACCTTAACCATGGCCCTCCTTCCCAGCATCACTACCTCTCTCTTTCGTCCCTTCTTTCACATGGGAGATCTTTCCTAGTTCCCTGTTCCCTGCCCTTCCTGGCAGGCTGCAGTGCTGTGTTCCCGCTGGCATTTCCCCTGTATTCCTATCAGTAGTACAGGTTAGTTCAGCAAGGAAACAGGCAGTGGCCGGGAATTTTCAGTAACTGGAGTCCTTGTGCCACACTCTAAGGGCGTCAGAATGCAGGTGAGTTCTAGCAAGGACAGCAGCTCACTCCCAGCTTCAGGATGCCTCCTTTATTCTTAAGGGGTTCCCTGGAATATTATTCTCTTGAAAGGAAATGTGAACCCCGCAGGAGACATAGTAGTTAGTCATACAGCATGGAGGGGGCATCATTGTAGGACACCAGAGATCGAAGATCTGTTGTGGGCTTGTCCACTGGTTCATGCAGCAGCGTTAAGAGGATGTCTCCTGTCATAGACCGTGCCCTTAGAGGGACTAGAGCCCAGCAGTAAGGGCAAATTCCCTTTGGCATCTGGTGACCTTCAGTGTGTCCTTTTGCCAGTTTGAGATACTCCAGAGGCCAGGACTCATCATGGCCACGGACCCTGACCACACTCCAGGCTTAGTGGAGTGGGGCCTGAGCTGGCCTCATGCAGGAGCACGGCCTAGGTCTAGATGACCCTATGATGTGCTGAGGTCTTTCTCAGAAGGTGAGGATGACTCCCAGAATTACCCTTGCCTGAGGGTGTAGTGGAAACCGCAGGCAAACAGCTGTATAATCACAGCCAAGGACTTGGCAGCAGAGATCAAGTCATCAGCCCTCACCAGGCACCCTGGCCCTAGGAAGCCTTGTTGGCTGTGGTATACCATGGAGATAGGAGAACAAGTTGGGTGTTCCAGTTCAGAATGTCTTGGAATTCTCCAGTCGCAGACAACATATTGGGGAGTGGGGAGCTGCTTGGGGCCCCTCCTTGCTCACTGGTCATGACTGTGAATGTCAAGCTGGGAGTGGAACCGAGGACACCAAAGCTCTAGGAAGGCACTGTCACCTCGCCTATTGTGTACCTTCAAAGGCTTTAAGAAGATACCAACACACGTTAGTGCTGTGATAGAGTTAAGTAGGGCTTGGAACACTCAGTACTGCATTGGGCAAGATGGGTGCTGAAGTTGACTGTGCTCAAAGGTTCCCTTGTCCTGTGTGCTTACATTTCAGTGTGGCCAAAAGCAAAGAATTGTCGCCAGGATCTGGGCAGAAAGGAAGTCCAGGCTCTAGCCAGGGGACAGCCTGCCCAGGGACACAACTGGGGCCACAGCCGGCTGCCAGCCCCAGCCAGCTTCCTGCAGACCAGAGTCCTCACACTCTCCGGAAAGGTAGGTCACCTCCTCTGACCATTCTTAGGCCCAAGATGGTGATGGCATTTCTGAATTATTTTTAACGTGGGTATCTGAAAACCTGTTGCATAGTCTGGGCACTAGAGTTTTGAGAACCTACCCACCTCCACCAGGGAAGACACAGCAGCTACAGCAGGTCAGTACATGGTGGTGGGAGCTCCTTCACATCTTGGTGGATCAGGGAGTAGGGAGAACTTTTTTTAATAGATTATGGTTCTATCATGCTCTACCACATAATCCCACTCAAACATTACACTGCAGGGAGAAAATATTATTCTTCCCATGATACGTAAGAGGTTTAGTTTTAGAAGAGGCTTAAGTAATTACCCCCAAAGCATGTAGCAGGTATGTGGAAGGATAGAAACCTGATTCCAAGTCAGTAGAATCTGCAGAGGTGTCTTTTTCTCATCCAAACCGTAGGCTGGACCCCTGGGAAGTAAGCAAGGCATCCTCAGAATAGTTTTCCTTACTTGGAGGGACTGGGATATGGGGAGGGGCAGTGGGAGGGGTAAGGAGAAGAAGCCATCAGGCCTCTGAGGACTTGAGTTTCTTGTAGCATTAGTGGTACCCACAGTCAGCCCTTAGTTGTACATACTGGTGATGGTGTTCTCAGGATATTTGCCCATCAGTGGGATCTCCTGAGTGCTCTAGTGTGGATACCAGTTTGTTTTTTATTCAGAGTGGCAGGCATTAGAGGACTATGTAAAAACAGGAGGCTGAGCAATGGTCTGCTTTAAAAATGCAGTCAGACTAGGTGTAGCCCAGTGGTAGAGCACTTTCCCTGTGAGTGAGGTCTTAGGTTCCATCCATCTCCAGCAATTGCAAAAAAAGAAAAAGAAAGTTGCAGGCAGTCAGTCTATTCATGCTGGCACCCAGAGAGTATACACTTTTTTGAGATAGGGTCTCCCTGTAGCCTCAGCTGGCCTGGAACTTGCTATGTAGTCCAGGCTGGCCTCAGTCTCTCAGAGATCCTCCTGACTTTGTCTCGTGAGTGCTGAGATTAAAGGCCTGTGCCACCACACCTGGTATAGAGTACAATTCTTGAAAGAAAATGGGAAAAAGAAGATGACCCATGGCTAGGGAGGAGGGGATGCATTTACCAAAGCACAGTTGTGAGGGGTGGCGTTCTTGTGTTCTGTTGCATAGTAGGGTAACTATAATCTGTCTATAGTAGTTAATTATACATTTCCAAATAACTAAACAAGCGTTGGGAAGTTTCCAGCACACAGAAGTGTTAATATTTGAGGACATGGAAATGATAATTACTGTAATTTGATCATTATGCATTGTATTCTTGTTTTGAATCACAATTCTATACCCCACCAATAAGAACAAATGTTATTATATCTGTTAACTTAAAATTAAAAGACAAAGCATGAGCAGCAAGCAGGCAGGCTTGAGATGGGCATGTGAGGCGGTGGGGGCTGGAGTGGCCAAAGGCTTTGCCATTGTGGGGAGGCCAAGGCCACTGTGCAGCAAAGGCCATTTCCTTCGCCAGGAAGCACGCTTTGGTAAGCACTCTGCAGTGATACCTTGAACTAGAATCATCCCCAACAGAGCCAGTCTCACTGACTCACTCATAGGGTGTATTGATGCCACCTTTTCCCTGGGAAACCATCCACTGCCTGCTGAAGAGAGATTCATTCTTCATGTTGGGTTGGCCCTGTGTTGTACATCATGTAGGAATCTAGAGGAGAGGAGGAGAAATTAGTTAATAAATAGTCAGTTAAGGAAACTCAGAGGCTGCTCTTGGTGTGGCAGGAGGAGGCAGCAGTGGCCACTCTGAGCCATGAGGATGTGCTCACCCTGGGGGGGTTCGCTAACAACCTTGTGTCCTCTGCTGTGTCTTCTATTGCAGTTTCTAAGAAGCTGGCTCCAATTCCTCCCAAAGTCCCCTTTGGGCAGTCAGGGGCTATGACTGACCAGTCCACCGGCCAGCCCTCCCCAGTCAGCCTGTCTCCTACTCCACCAAGCACCCCATCACCCTATGGACTGAGCTACCCTCCCGGGTACACCTTGGCCTCAGGCCAGCTTTCTCCTGCCTCTGCTCCTCCATTGGCTTCCCCCTCCATCTTCACAAGCACTTTAGCCAAATCTCGGCCTACCCCTAAGCCCCGACAGAGGCCCACCCTACCGCCTCCTCAGCCTCCCAGCGTCAGCCTGTCAGCCTCAAGTCCACAGTCCACGGAGCACCCCATGCTGGACGGCATGTCCCCGGGGGAAAGCATGTCTACAGGTAACCAGGCCATAAGCTCTCTGCAGGGCTCCTGCATAGCTTAGCAAAATGTGCCAGGGGGTGGGACCAGCAGTATTACCACCCACCAAGCTGGTTGCTGGGCTGCTTTCCACCGAGGCCCTCAGTGGAAAGCAGCCCTGGAGACCAGTTGTCCTGCAGGGAGGGAGCTCGTGGGATTGCTCCCAGTAAGCTCACTAGCCCAGGGATCCTATTCTATGGAGTTTGTGTGGTTGAGTCTTTGGAGTGGGCCCTCCAGAGTAACTGACATCAAAACACAGAGGTATTGTTAAGCATGGTGGTGCATGCCTTTAATCTCAGCCCTCAGGAGGCAGAGGCAGGCGAATCTCTGTGAGATCGAGGCCAGCCTGGTCCACATAGTGACTTTTAGGCAGGCTGGGACTAAGGAGACTGTCAAAAAATAAAAAATAAAACAAAAACAGAGGTGTTTCCTTCCCCCAGACAGAGCTCAGCAGCTGGGTAGTACAGACCCTTACCTGAAGGAGAGAGGCTAAGAACAGGAGATTTTTTCCCCCAGGAGTAAAATAAGCCTTGCTAGAAAAATGTATTTGCATTGCAGATCCATACTTAGAGAGGGCTCTCCTTCAGAAAAGACATGTGTTTCTTCCCTGCCACAGTTCCTCCAGCAGCTAATTAGTCGAACCCATAACCACTAACTGAGCTCTGCTCTAAATTCAAAAACAAAGATGGGGTTATCATCCCTCCCCTAGAAAAATGTGTAAAAATAAGAAATGAAACAGTAAACACCATTCATTGTGGAAGAAATGGGAGGCATTTTTAAAACGGCTCCCTGGGCACTGGGCAGATTTGTGGTTGCTGCTGATGTCATGTGAGGGTTTTCCTTATTCAGGGAGGTAAGCAAAGTGTCAGGCTGGGTCTCAGAATAGAGCCAGTTCATTTCACCACAGAGCAGAGCCTGAGCAGCACTGTTGAGCACTGTTCCAGGTAGAGGGCAAGGCATCTAAGGCACAGTAAGAACTGCATACCCACAATCTCATAATACCATGTTCCACATGAACACATACCACATTTTTCCCCCATCAAGTGTACACATACTCTGCACATGCATGTATCACACATACATACCCACATGTGCACACAGGACACATACATACAACATGTATACCTTACATATGTACACACACATATACATACTATACATATACCATACACATGTATACCACACACTCACATGTGCACCCAGTAGAAACATATTACACATATACTATATGTACATACACCATATACCTATACATGGCACACATGCAACACATATTACACATGAATGCCCACATATACACTCAGCATATACTTACCACACATATATCCCACATGTATATAGCATATACATACTACACATATGCCACATATCCATCATTTATACAGCACACACATATACTGTACATGTCACACATCACACACCCCCACATGTGCACATACATTTGTATACCACATGTATGCATGCTCCATACACATGTGTACTTAGTATACCACACATGGACCAATTGTACACACTATACCCACACATATACTAAACATATATACATGTAACAGCACATATACTATACATGCATACATATAGCAGGCACCCACACATACACCACACAAATGACATGTATGCATGCACACACCACATACCCACACGTATAAATCACACACCTTATGGTAGGGTATAATTCAATGGTAGTTTGTTTTACCCTAGTTCAGTGCACAGTACACACACACATATATATAGCCACATGTATTACATACAACATACACACAAATGTCACCTACCCGCTTGGGCATAGTGGGATCTTGCATCAATAGCGCCTCCTTTCCCCCACCTCATTCACACAGAATGTGCACTCTCTTCCCTCTGTGAGATGGCAGCCACAGCCTGTGGGGTTCAGCTCCAGAATGCCAATGAAAATGCTAGTCAAATTGCAAGTGTTTGTGATGGGTCAGGAGTTTTCAGTATTATGGGGAGAGCCATCTGGTGATCTGGCTTCTTTATTTTTGGAAGTGATTAATGTTGTACAGCTGCTGTCATCCACTCTGTAGCTTATTAAAACTTAGGGAACTGCTTCCTGAGGAAGCAGTGAACGACAGCTGTCCTTCCCGAGTGAGCCCTGGTGAGCAGGCAGTGGCCAGAGAAGACTCACAGAAGCTGTCCACTCAGCACTCCAGGTCTGCCACTTTCCCAGCCACACTAGGCCACAAGGCATGGCCCATTCTGCAAGGCACAGGATGAGCAGAGGATGGAAGCAGAAAAGAACAGAATGACAGAAGTGGTTTGGTCCCACAGGTGGCAGCAGCAAGCAGGGAGGGCCAGTGCCCTGTGGCTTATGAGGCATGGAAGTTTGCTTTACATAGCCCAGGCTGGAGGTCTGCAGACCATCATACTCAGTGACATCCTGCCAGCATAACTGTTGTTTAAAATGTTTTTTGAGCTGCAGACTATCACGTGTCCTGTGTGTACAGGTCTCTTGACAGTGTAGAATCTGTAGTTGGTGTGGCCTATGTGGGACTGTGGCACTGGGTAGTATTTTTGTTACGTGTGTCTTTCATTGTGTTGTTCCTCTCTCCGAATCCTATCATTATGTTCTTGCAGCTGTGTGACATGAGTGACGCAGTGTTGGATACATGTGAGGGGGATTTTCAGGGTAAGCTGGCCCCAGCTCGCCCCGCTCTACTCCTTCAGCCAGCCCAGCCAGCTGCCCAGCCACCTCCTGCCCCACCAGCCCCTCCTCTCACTGCATGTGGCTCAGACCCACCAACAGCATGCCTGCTCCACTCACTGGCATTCCCCAGCCTCAGCAAGAGCCTCCTGACGCAGGAGCTTGTAGCTTTCTGAGATCACCGGCCTATTTTCCTTCTCATTAGTTTGGGAAGCCTAGCAGAGGGCCGCAAGCTCTTCCTTTCCTCCCGTCACCATCCTCGGCTGCAGCTCCCCCTCACCTCAGGTTGTTAACCCAGATATCAGACCTGTTTTTCATAGGTGTAACTGCTGGAAGTTTTGGTGCCCAGTGCCTTGAGACTGTTCCCCACACCCATTTGCTGAGGAAGGTGTCCCTACAGCCTGGCACAGGGCCACTCCCTTGGTCAGCGGTCATGGGCTTGTACCAGCTGGTCTTAGGCTTCATTGTCAGCACAAATTCTAATGCCCATCTCCCTCAGGCAGACCGCCAGCAAAGCTTGAAGAATCCACAGGGCAGTACTCTAGGTTCTAAAACACAGCATCTTAGAATGCGTCAGTCCTGTGATAAAAAGCCTCCAGAGCTCTCTAGCCCAGTAGAACATTTTGAGCATTGTTATCAGTATCTACTTGGTTTCCCCTTCATGTAGAATAGATGCTCAAACCTTAAAATCTGGCAAGAGCATGAAAGCAGCCCAAAGGAGTTGCAGATCAATGACTGGGAGCTGGTACTCACAGGTCTTCTGATATACTCCCACCCAGAGCTGCCAGGAAGCAAAGCTTCCATCTCCTCAGGAATGCCAGTGAGTGCTTCTCCACTAAGTTCCCCTCCCTTGCTGAGTGACCGTTCTTCAGGCTCCTTCCAGGGCATAGCAAGGGGAAGGTTGGGGCAGTCCTGTGCCAGCTGGGCAGTCTTTCACAATATCTGGACTGTCATGTTCATGCTCCTGATCAGCCTGTTATTCCTACTTGACAGCAAGGAGCTAGTGCCTGTCTAAGGCCACAGTCCTGCCACAAGAGAGGTCTGCAAGTCTCTAAGTGTGCTTTCCTACAGAACTGCACAATGGGGTGGCCCAGTCTGTCTCACACATGTAAAGGTGAGGCAGGGCATAAGTCATCCACTGCAGGGGAGTGCTTGGTATATGCTGGTCCAAGTTTCAGAGTCCCAAATCTGTTCCACCAGACCCCCTGAGGACTGGGAGTGGGGCAGGGGTATCCCAGAGCTTGTGTGTCTGTAAAATGTCTTTTAGGGCCGTGTCCACTTGTTTGTCTGTACACTCAGTATGGTATTCCTCATTCTCAACGTTTTATTGAAAAAAACTTAAAAGCCAACAAAAATAAAATCCCACCTTCCAAGTGGCCCAGGGCTAAACCCCTGCCAAGTTAGTGTGCTGTCATCTGGAGTGCAGCCCTCAGCTCAGGTTCAGAGAAGGCAAGAACTAAGCAAAGGGGATTGGGGCGGGGGGGAGTTATGATACAACCAAGAGGGAAGGAAGGGCTCAGAGGACCCATCATATCCCAGCTCAACTCCTGTAGTCTTAGGGTTACAGCAGTCTACCCAGTAGTTGGCTCCAGGGCCATTTCCAGTAGGTTGTCTAATAGGCTGAGTTGCCAGCTGATGACCATGAACTTCATTCTTATCTTTTTGACTCAGAGACAGACCCTGTAACTTCTGGTACATTCATTCTTCCTGCCCTTTCTAGGAAGAATGACCTTTTAGTGCTCCTTATAAAAATGCAGTCAAACAGTGGTGTGTCCTGCAGGTTGTCCCACTTCCCACCAGCATCCTAAGGCCCCACCCTGCCCCCTTGAGCTGCCAGCACAGCCACTATTTATGAGGACACCAACTCACCCTGTCCCTGCAGACTAAGGAATGGACTTCAGTCTGAGATTTCTAAGAGATGTTACTGAGGCCTTCCCTGGAAGCAGTGTTTATCAGGACCCAGGTAGAGAGACTGTCTGATCGATCTGAAAGACTTGGTCCCATAGCCAACCTTCCGTGCAGAAGTAAATGAGACTCAGCCACACCCTGATCCTGCAGTACCCAGCCTCTTAAGAGCTAGCCCTGGCACAGGCAGGCCACCCAACCTCCTACAGCAGTCTGCCTGAAACTGGACACTGAGCTGGAAGCCCCCCTTACCTCCTTTTCTCTCTGCAGATCTTGTCCACTTTGATGTCCCCTCCATCCACATAGAGCTGGGGTCCACGCTCCGTCTGAGCCCCCTGGAGCACGCGCGGCGGCACTCGGTGACTGACAAGAGGGACTCAGAAGAGGAGTCTGAGAGCACGGCCCTCTGATGTGGCCACCCTGACACGTGTACATACGTCCTTGGGCCCCTAGATGCGCCACCCAGAGCAGCATCCCCTAGCTGGCCAAGGATTCTCTGCTGTCACATCCAACACGGGTGGAGTTGGGCAGAGGAGAGCACTCGCCCCGTCCATGTGGCCAAGTGTTGGTGGTGCAGATTTCATTTGTTCCTTTTGGGTGGCGACTTCAGCCTTTTGTTTGACCTTTGCCTTTTGACTTTGTGCCTATTTTGATCCATCTTTAGCCTCCATGCCAAGCAGCACCCACCTCTCCACTCAAGGGCTTCTCAGCACGGCCTTTGCAAGGTAGAGGGTGCAAGAGAGGGTCCAGTTACCTGGTTACACCTGAGGGCTGGGCCTTGACCCAGATACATGATATCAGTGGTATCAGGTCCTGCAGCATCAGAGTAAAGGCCAGACGGGAAGCAGGACAGGAAAGGACCCTCTCAGTAGGGCTAGAATTGCAAAAGTCCTGGACACTGGCTGCTGCCTGCTGCCAGGGGATGGCCAGCTAGAGAAACCTAGGCCACCCATAATCACAGCTCCAAAGTAAACAGCTCAATACACCCATTTCTGACAGCCTGACTTTTCCCCACATGACTAAAGACTCCCTTCACTCCATAATGCTTGACATTTCTGAACTGAAAAGAGGATTTGGGCATAACTAGAGGGCCCTGCATAGCTCTCCATGTCCCCCAAACACATTAGGTATCAGAGCAATTTTTCCATCCAGGAACCCAACTTAGTAGGTAGGTGGGCCTGGAGCCACTACTCTCTGAAGGTTACAGCTGACTAGCAATAATTCTGTTCCCCAAAGCAGGTAGGAGTGGCAATGGCTGCCTCACCCACAGTGTGGCCTGCCTTGCTCACCAGCAGCCCTGGCTCACCCTTCTCACCAAGTCCCATGCAGTCCTGGGGAGGGCTGGGGAGGGGCTCGGAGAGCCAGTTCACACTTTGGGATTAAGGGGATGAAACAGATCTGGGCTGTGCATGCAAAGTTTAAAGTTTGATCCTTTTAAAATAGATATACCTATACATGATATAATATTTGTATATATGAAATCTATATTTGTTTAATTTTGAGCCATTCAATCTAAACCTATGTACAGGTGTACAATGACAAACTCTAAAAGCTTAGTTATTTTTCCCAACTGTGTAAAGCCACCCTTCTCCAAGAGTGGGATCTGCAGACTTTTGATGTTACAGCTTTGCTCACTTCCTGGCAAGGGCAGTCCAATCCCCAATTTGTAACGGAGCCTGGGGGTTGAAGGTTATCTTTAAATACATGTACAAATCGTTGTCAAAAGTAATGTTATTAAAATAGATTTATTATCCCTGAGCTTGGCACATGGTCTTGCTTTAATAATAAAGGCTGCTGGGCAGTTACAGTATCCTGTGCTGCCTCAGGAGGAACCTGAAGATCACCAGCCCAGTTCTTGCTGTCTTTCTCATAACCTGAATGTCTAAAGTTCTTTCCACCTTCTCCTGGGTACGGGGAATATATAAATAGTAGATTCTCCTTTGAATTGCCTTCTGAGGTTTGGTCACAGACCTGTATTTTTAGATCCTGTGAGGGCAAGGTGGCCAGCCCAACATGACATTTCTCCATGTTTTCAAGGACAAACTGATTCTCATTCTCTTCATGGGGCAAGAGAACAAACTGACTGTCCTCACTTGTACTCAGATGAGAAGACTTGCATGTGATGCCTGCAACTGGCTGGGTCAGGCTCCATCTCTCAATGTGAGAAGTCATTGCTGTGGGCTGGTACAGCTGGACAGCTGTGGAGATTAGGCTATGGAGAGGTAGTGACTCCCTGGGAGCAGGCTACACAGGTCCTCACTGCCACTGGAACATGCAGGGTACATTGGATACCCAGCCTGCAGAAGACCCCACTCTGTAGCAGAAACATGATGCAGCCAAAGAATTTGGGACTCCAAACTCAAGCTTTATTGAGTCCGATTCTTTGGAAACACTATTCTTGGAGTCTGGGATACTTAGACCCAATGTGATTCGTAACCTGCCTTGACTCTGACATGCAGAAGGAACCAGTGCTAGGAAGTAAGGGGCAGACACCTCAATTTCCATAGATGTCTTTAAAGACTGGCTTGCTGTCTTCTACTGCATGGCTCCTGTCCTGACACTGTTCTTCTCCAGACATGAGGGGCTCCTACCAGGTCGGTGCTTTCCCTTCCCTTGGCCACAGAAGATGGCACACTCTAACCCCAGGCTGCCTTCTGGCTGGATCATGTGTGCTAGCTCTGCCAGGATGAACAGATGGTGGGTGCCACACAGGACAGAGAACACAGCTTTCAATCCAGGATGGCTTAGACCTTCACTGGGCTCTAACCTTCTTGTTTTGTGGGCTGTGTGGGCCCTCTGTGTGGGCCCTCTTCTGCTGAGGATCCTTATCTGGGCTGTCTGCCTGCTGGGCTAGAAGGGCTGCTTGCACTAGCCGTAGCTCCCGCAGCCCCCGCTTCTCCCTGCGCTCTTCCATCTCTTCAATGTCATCCGCAAACAGGGCCTTTAGCGAGGGAATCAGCCTGGGCACTGTGGGGAAGTCTCCAAAGCGAACCTGGAAGGCAGAGACACACTAAGTGGGGCAAGGGGAGGAAAGAGGCTCTGAGCTTGGCCTCCTCTCCTTGCTTGTACACCCTCAAGCCGACTGACCACAGCTTAAAAGATTGCCATGAGGAAAGGTATCAAGCCCTTTGAAGAAGGGCCAACAACCCCCCCCCCCCAATTAGGGCAGGTGGATCAAAGGACCCTGGGAAAGGAAACTAAAGTGGCCCAAACGTGTCTGTTATGCTAACAACCAGAGCTGGCTCACACCCTACTCCTTCATTCAGGAGGGATTGGGAAGGGCAGGCCTGGCTCTGCCACTCCTAGAAAACTAGCACCTGTCCCATATATTTGTGCTGAGACTATAGTGACAATGTGAATAGTCAAGGCCTGGGAGAGCTTTGCAAATCTCCAGGGACCCTGAGGAGCTGAGGGCAGGAAGACCCTGCAGGAGTAGACCTTGTCATCAGTCTGCCCCAGGCCAGAAATGGAAAGGAGCGGGGGTTGGGGGCCATTTTCCTCCTGGCCTTGCCTCAGAGCCCTCACTGTCCCTGTACCATACAGACCTTCATGTGGTCAAAGGCGATGCCAACTTTCTCATTGAAGTCAGGGCTGAAGAGGGGGATCTTGGCGTACCGCTGGCTGAAGTGGTTCAGCATGATGAACTGGGCATTCATCCGCATTCCCACACCAATGGCCTGGGAGGTTGTACTTGTGGCAGAGAAGAGAGGAGGAGACACTAAGCTTTGGGCCAGAAGTTCACAGCCTCTGCCACTTGAGCTACCTGGGGCACCAAGGAGGGTGGGAGTGCATAACCGTTTCTTGTTCAGCCAACAGAGATGCTCCTGAGTGCCAGAGCCTGCCCAAACTTTCTGAGGAGGGCCTGCAGTCAGTGCATACATAGCTTGTCAGAGTGGGCACCTAGGGTAAGGCACTGTCTCCTAAAATAGCCTATATTCAGCCATGTCCCCCACCCTTCCCAGCTGGCTTGTTCTTTTAAAACCCCAGGCCTCACTATAGAACCCTGCCTAAGGAATCTGCAAGAGCAGAGGCACAGGGCGCAGGAAAGCTAGCATGCGTTCAGGAAGTCCCGTAGTCCTGGTAGGAAGGCAGCTGTGGCTGTGGGTACTATCTCTCTCCAGGGGTGGGTGGAAGACTGCTCAGCCTTCGCTTGACAGAAGAGGGTAGAGGACAAGGACCCAGGAGCATTGCTACCTGTGTGTCTTTTCTACTGCTTCCTCTTCCAAGCCATCCTCCAGAGTGGCTTCATGTATTAGGAGGGTGGCATCCTTCCCTGGACAGAAGGACAGGCATCAAGGTGGAATCTGGGTGCATAGCTTGACCCTTGGGTCCACAGCTGTGTCCTAACTCAAACACTCAGCTTCTTTGGCCCAGTGACTTGCCTGTACCTTAGGATAACAGCCAGAGACTGAGTAGGCAAGAACTAGTCTGCTGTCTCTGTTGTAGTCACCCACACACCTATCTGCATACACCTCGTATGTCCCAAATCCCATTCACCTCTCACAGAATCTGGACAAGACCCATTTCTGTCACTCACCCATCTGTACCAGAGCCTCACAGGGCATAGTGTCCCCTGAGTAGACCACTTTCCAGCCAGAGGAGTGCACCAGTGCACAGCCAAAAGCATGCTTGCAGTGCCGGACTAGGCAGGTCTGAAACTGAAGAACAGAGAGTATGGGGGCAGGCCCCACTCCCCACCCTGCCCTTGGTGGGGTCTGAAGATGAGCCCCTTACCTCTTTTAAGTCACATGTCTCCAGCAAGGAGCTGATCAGCCTTTCAACTGTGGTACTGGAGACCTCAGCCCCTTTCTGAAGGCATTTGGCAGGAATCATACTGTGAGATTATAAAAGATTTTACAGATTACGATGAACATGTAAAAAAAAAAATCATTTAGCACCTGCAATCACAATTCAGGGTCTTCGGATGGAGAATCTTCAATGGTTCTCACGCAGAGACATGCTTTACATCACAGTCATAAAGACAGGGAAACTGATCAAATCAAAAGAGCCAAGCCACGCAGCCAGCCCACTCAGTTCACTGTAAGAAAACAGGTGACTGCTCGCCTCCCTGGGCCCAGGCAGACCAGGGGCAGCTACAGGCAGATGGTAAGGTGGGCTAAGCCATGTCCCCAGCATCTACCACCTGGCATGGATGGCTCTGTACCAGCCTAAGTTCTGGTGCTTGACCCTGAAGTGTTTCCTGGAAAAATGCTGGCCAAATCTAGGTAGTACAGAACTGCAGAGAGAATTGAGATGCTCAGAGGATGAGCCCCAAGTACAAAGCCATCAACTGCCCTGAGGTCAGCTGGAGCCTGAGGCTAGATGCCCAGAGCACTTACCTGATATGGTGCAGAATCTCCTGGCACTGGTTGTGATACTGCTGTAGCCAGGGCCTGAGCTGGGTGGGGGCCACCACCAGCAGAGGGTGAAAGGGCTTCCCCAGGGATACCTGAAACAAGATCCCAGTTCAAAGTCAATGAGAAGACATAGTTTGGGAGTGGCAGGTGTGGGCAAGAATGTGTGAGCAGCCAACTCCCAATGTCAGTCAGGTGCCGCACTTACCAGAGCACGCTCCCTCTGCAGCAAGATGTTCAGCAAACCCTGGAAAGGAGAGTGCACCTGTGATGAGCCAGGGCCAGCTCCATCATTTCCACAAGTCAGGGCTCAGCGTCCCTGTCTCCAAATGGTTCCTAGCTCACTACGGAGTCCAGGAGTCCAGTCCTCACTCAAACCACAGCTGGGGTGACACATGCTGACCAACAGCTTTTTGAAGATACAGACAGAAAGCAGTATAGCTTGTGTTAAAAAGAGTGCAAAGGGCAAGACCCATTAACCTCTAGGGGATCAGAGCAAGGATATAGCAGCCACATCACCCAGATCTGGCCCATTCTGCTGGTCAGGCAGTGTGCAAAGCAAGATTCAAGGAAAGTTGGGTAAAGCTAAACTGGTACTGCTGCTTACAAAAGCAGAAAGCAAGACGAGGCATTCTTATCCAGCATGGTCTTTTCCTAGTGAGTGATGACTCAAAAAAACTCTGGGTAAGTTTGATAACAACAGGAAAGAAGGCCAAGCACAGACTGGAACCAGCATCTCCCCATGTGCTGCACTCTGAGGTCCAAGCCCACACTCACCGTATGGTGGTCTGCGTGCAAGTGGGACACAAACACAGCAGCCAAGTTGCCCAGGACTCTGTCCACTTGCTGTCCATAATGACGGCACAGCTGCCCAAACGTACCTTCGCCACAATCCAACAGTACAGACCTGTCAGAGCTACAGAAGACAGTCACCAACAGGAAAGGGGCTTCATCTAGACTATTTGCAGAATGACATTGCTTTAGCAAAGAACAGGCAGCATTCCATAACCACCCCATTCTATTCTTTGTGGAGCTCAGATAAAAGCCAATTAATCTAACCATACAGGTAATTCTAGTCCAGTCCACCGCTAATGAAAGATTCAAAGAATCCTGAAACAGTTAAGGACACACATTAACACAGGTGCATCTTGGCACTGTGGCACATACTGGCTATATGACTCTGTTATTTTTCATTCACCACTAGCACCTACAACAATAGTGAGATCTGGGATGGAGAGATGGCTCAGCAGTAAAAGCAATGATTGTTCTTGCAGAGGACTCAGGTTCAATTCCCAGCACTCACATGGCAGCTAACAACCTTCTAACTCCAGTTCCAGGGGATCCGATGCCCTCTTCTGACCTCCGTGGGCATTGCACGATATGGGTGCATTTACACACAAGTAGGCAATACACTCATATACATAAAAATAATAAATAAAATATTAAAAAAAAAATAGTGAGATCTAAGAACTAACCCGCCCCTCACCAGCTTGCCTCCTGGACAGACATGTCTGTAGAGCAGAGCGGCCATGCACATTTCATAGGCCTCTAAGTGCTGCATGTCTGCAGATAAATGACCCCAAGCAAACCCCAGGATCAATGAGAAAAACATGTCAAGTGGAACTTAATAATAAGGCTGAACATAGAACAAACATACAAATCCCAAAAGCTTTTAAACATAACCCAAGGAGTTAAAAGGGGCAATACATGTACCAAGTAAGAAGCCAGCTCAAAGTCTGGACCTGCACCCTATGTTGCAGAACTAAAGCATGTACCTGGGTATGTGCTTCCAGCCAGTAAAACCAAAGTTATTAGCCATTTCACAGGATTATGTGAAAGTTCAATGGGGCAGTTCCTCAGCAAAGCACACAGCACATACAAGTTTCAGTTCTTTTTCTTCAAAGTCAGGATGGGATGGTTTGGGTAATTCCCAGAAGTAAACGTTACCAATTGAGGCTATAAGATGTAAGATTCAGTAAGCCTAAGACTCGTGAGGCAGCTGGGTAAGGAGTGCCACATGTTTGAGGCAGCACTGTCTATACACTAAGTTCCAGGTCAGCCAGGGTTACATGGCAAGGCCCTATTTCAGTAAATAATTAAAACAACAAAACCAATTTCTAAATAAAACAAGACACAGTGAAGCCCACTACTCCTGTCTCTGGCTAAGATGGCAAGCTTACAGGCTGTGAGTGAAGAAGGAGTGTTTAAAAGAAAGAAAGCTCATTGGTAGATGAGGGCTCCCCGGGCACAGGCAGTACCTTATGTTAACAAGTGTGGAGCTGACGTTTCTGATCTTCATTGGGATGGCAGACCCTGTGCCCAGGAAGATGAATTCTGGATACTGGCTGTTTTTCTCTGAAAATTACATGGGAAAGTGAGCTAGCATTCCACCACAAGCTAGGCAAGCAGTCCAGTCCAGTCCAGCTTCCCAGACGGGTGGTGAGTCATAGCCACTTGTCCTCCCAAAAAGGGTTTCCTCGCCAGTGTGAGGTTGTCAGAGAGGAAAGGCATCTGGAGGGAGAGCACATAATCCCTCAGGCCTTGCTTCACTACTTTGTGTATCAAGACCACCCATGCCATGTGTCTGTATCTTCCCAACTACCTAGCAGGAACACCCTGCTGTACAGGAGCAGAGGGCCTTACTCAGCCTGGCCATAAACTAATATAGGTCTTTAGCATACACACCGGAGCACCAATCATAAGCAGAACTGAAAGCAAAGCAAGTCCCAGGAATTCATCCTTCCCAGACACACAGGGGACAAGTGACGGTTTGGCCACACCTGTGTCCTACCTAGAGCTAAGTTTCAGAGAAACAAGGATGGAGAAAAACCATCTGGCTAGCTTAAGCCCCACCCCTTCTATTCCAGCATTTTCTTCTTTCAGTAACTAAATGCACAAAATACCCAGAAAGAGCAGAGCTCACAATATGCCCAAACTGCTTTTCCTGATAGAGCACTGAAGGGGGTTACCTAGCCAGCACCTTCCATGGACCCTTCTCAGCAAACCCAAGCGAGATCCTAAGATGGCAGAAGGGCAACAAGGAGCTCTTTGTGATCTTAAGAATGCCTGGGCACAGTCACTAAATACTGTGTGGGTGTGACACAGACACTCGAGGATCCTCAACACCTTCCTCCACCCCGCACTGTAATACAGACAAATCCTAAGTGAAATAATCAGGTTGGGATGTGCCCAATACCCTACTTAAGATTATAAGGCTGTACTAGGCAGAGCCGAGGAGAGGCTGCCCAGGGTTTCGGCTCACCTGCTGGGGCTGGGCTGTCCTGCACATTCTTCTTATACTCCTGCACACTCTCCTGGAAATTGGGGAGCTCCAGCGCCTCGGCTATGAATTCATCAGGATTGCAAGTAAGTATGGCGTCCCTGCAGAGAAAGGCATCTCAGTGACCAAAGGGACTGTGTGGCTTCTCTGCAAATGTTAGTATGCATACTCAGGATGAATCCATTGGGGGGCGGGGTACTGTCTGAAGAACACTTGGGCAGATCATGATGACCTGAGGCAATTTTGTTCTACTTCTGGAACCTTCCTCACCTAAATGAGCTGAATGAGCTCTGAACAATTCCAGCTCACCACAATCTCTCCAGTCTCAAGCTTAATGGGCAGGCACTCCCAATGCTCAGGCAGGATGAGTCTTTCTTTATAATGGGGTTGTTCTATACAGCACCACTTCCCTCGCTCAAAGTATGATGATTACAGATATCTCCAAATATGACCCAGTATTCCCTGGGAGGCACAAAATGGTCCAGCTGAGATGCAGGACAGCTAATCCTCAGGAACTGGGAGCCTTGGTGACACGCAGAACCTGACCTGGCAGCTCTCAGGGGAACCTTAGAGCCCATGTTCTCAGCAAGACCCAGGTGCCTCCACAGGGCACTGAGAGCTCAGAGGGCTGGCTCTTCAGGCTGGCTGAGCAGGAAAACCACCTGAAGCTCATAAAGCAGTCCCTAAGTGACTTCTCCAGATCTGAGCTCAGTGTGTCTGGGCCCCAAGAACATTTTCACTGACACAGGCTGAGGAATGCATTGCCTGTGACCCAAGGCATACCACCATTAGCTCTTCAACAGTGCTGATTGTTCAACTGCAACAGCATACAGTAACAACCCAAAACATGGTCTATTCTAACAATGACATTAGATGGCCAGGAAACATAAGATTCCATATTTGGAAATCAAATGGTAAAAACAGGCTGTCAGGTAGTTGGCAGACACTCCTCACTTTCCTGGGAGTGTATGGGCATTCCAGGAGGCAATGTATGTTGACTCAATCACTCCACATTTAAGAAATTACCTTTAAGGAACAGAGTTCTAGTCAAAGACATACATAAAACAGCAAAATTGGCCCGAACAAGTAAAACATCTTCATAGGAAACAACCAATGAAAATCTCATTATTGGCAACTACTTGTGACGGAGGCCACACAATTGGAACAGCCTGCCCACCCTTGGCCCAGATGTTTCCATACGTTCAGAACCACACATACCTCTGCCACTCTCTCTTGGGGCGGAGTTGGTATTTGAGGAGGCATTCACCCCGAACCGTGGGCATGCCGAGGGTAGACCCTTCCTCCTGAAGGACACAAGAACATACTCCATAGTGAGAAAGCAAAGGACAGGAGCTGACTGCTCAGGACAGATCTGGGACACTAGCTACCTTACTGTAGAAAGTAGTGAGTGGGGGAAAGATGTCCGGATGAATGAGGCCAAGCTGCGTTTGGATCTTGTGGCTGCGAAGGTTGTGGACTGATGCACAGTTCTCATTCAGGATCAAGTGCTGGGTGTCTGGTCCAAACCTAAGAAGAAATAGCCTGCCCATCAGAAGCACCTGCCAAGGAACCATTCCATCTCAGGGACAACAGTGGAGATAAACAGCCCTAACATGGATGGATGTGTTCAGAGAGTCACAGTCATTTGCCCCCAAATAATTACTACACAGCCAGACATAACCTGCTGCTTCTGTGTCTAAGTCTAGGGTTTTATCTCGATGGTAGCTGCCTTTGGGACATGCTGGAAAGAATGGCAGAATGAGAAATAAAAGTTAAGACCTTCATGTAAGGATCTTAAAACATGGAGTATAGGGTGTAAGAGGAAAAAAGACAATGCATGTTATGACTCTATCCCTCAAGAACAACAACAACAACAAAGAGGCAAAGCCCAAGAGCTCCTCGGCAGAGAAGACAGAGGGGAAAGTATGGGGTGAAGCAGGGGGCAGCTAAGAAGCAACTGGAGGCCACCACGTACACTAGCACAAACACTCTTCCTGGCAGCATCCTTGGCCACTGAAGCTACAAAAGGGCTACTTCCCAGTTACTAAACTGTGGTGGGGCCTCCTCCTCACAGGGTTGCTCAGAAAATAAGCTAGCAGAGATGAAGTCAAATGCAGACATGCAGTTGGGCTCACTGAGCAAAGCTGTTTTCATTTGCAAGGCTTTCCTATGGGATACATATGTATAACTGTCAACCAAAAGGCAGCAATGGCTCAGAGGCCACTGACTATGCAGAATATAAAAGGATGCAACAAGGAGGCTTTTCTAAGTCTGACATGTGGACACTATGCCATCTAGTGGTAATGATCTTCCCAGAGCACTACAGATGAGCCCTTTCAGAACTCACATTGCAGGAATGAATCTCAAAGAAAACTCAGGCAGGCTCAGAGGTGAGGGCAGGCAGTGAACAGAACAGTACTTAATAAGGGTCACACAAACACACCACTACCCAGAAGGGCTGTCCCTGTGCCCTGGGTTGGGCTCCGTACCTCTCCATCCACTGCTGATAACTGGCATCCATGAGCACAGATTCTGGGGCAATGTGAACTACTAGGGCCACAGGAGCACTGGCATCTCCCTGGTACCTGGGAAGAAGAGTGGGCTCTCCTTTAGAAAGTGATACAAAGTCAGGACACATACAAACTCTGAAACCATGGAGTGCAGCACTCAGTGCTGCATGGAGACCATCCAGGTTTGGTCTGAGCTGCTCCAGGTATGCCCAAGATGGCAGGCCCCAGCACTGGCCTTGTCAGCCCTGCACAGGATGCCCCTACTAAGCAAGCTCACTCTAGGCCCTGCTGGCTGAGCCTTCTCCGTATCACAGCCTGTGGCTCTTCCTGTCCTTTTCCTCTATCTCTAACAAGCATTCCTCCAGTCAGTCTCCTGTGCTCATCCCACCTGGGTATCTGCCTTCCAGAGTGTCTGAAATGTCACCATCTAGAGAGAACATCACTAACTAGTGACGTGTCCTAGTTCAGCAGTGTTTTTATCCCACCACTGCTATTCCACACAGGCACAGATCTTTCAAACAACACCTCAGTGGCTTGCAGTAGCTCTGCTGCTTAAAAGATGATTCGAATAGCCTGTGTACGCCAGGCATGGTGGTATACGCCTATTATCCCAGTCCTCAGGAGGAGACCCGGTCTCAAAAAAAAAAAGTATGTGAAAAAACACAGCTAAATATGTCTAACAAGCCACTAAGGAGGGAAGAAATTTAGAACACAGATATGTGGCTTAAAGATTCCATCTAAGGTGGCAGTATACACCTATACTCAGCACTCAGAAAGAAGATTTCTAGACCAAGGCCAGCCTGGTGATACTATCCAGTCTCAAAAGTGACAAGGGCTGAAGATAAAGCTCACTGGTAGGATACTTGCCTAGAGTGCTCAAGGCCAAGGCCAGGAACCCAAAAGTAAAGGGTGTTGGGGGGGCGGGGATGTCCACCTAGGATTAAAGTTGAACTGGTTAACTTTTTTAATAGCTATAATACTTGGGCCTGAAAGAAGTTTCCAAACTGAGACTTTCCCTAGCACATACTCTTGGCCCATGGGGTCTCAGACACTCTCTCCCATTTCATTAGGCTCAAGGTAGCTGAGTGAAGACAACTCATGTAGGTAAACATATGCCAAATAATCATGTGGGCATCCAATCTAAAATTTGTTCTAGACTTAGATCTCTCCCGTTTCCTCTCTCTTCCCTCCCTCCCTGATTTGCAGTTGATTGTCTAGTCCTCAGCAACTTATGGTTTTCAGTGTTCTCAAACTTCACTTCAAAGCCCACTGACTACAAAAACAACAGAACTGCCAACAGGATCAAGGGGTATCAATCAAGCAGCCACGGGTCAGGCCTTCCTAGAGACCTGCTCCATCTAAGAGACACCATCTGTCCACAGAGCACTAGTGTCTGTGCCGGGCCAAGCATCCCAAGTGGTGAGGATCTCACTTCTCCCACCCAAAGTCCCTCATTGTTACCTCTTAAAGGTGCCATTCTCACAGATGGGCTGGATGAATCCTTCATCAGGACACTCTACCACAATAAATGCAAGACCAGGTTCTGGGGGTGTACAGAGCTCTTCAGGTGGGATCTAGAAAATCAGATAGTTCACTCACTGGAGCAGAACATTCTCGTTCTCCCAGAACAATCTTAGCTCAGCCACACACAAATGTCATTTAAAGCACCTGCTGCAGTTACACATCCCACATCCAAGTACACAGAGCACAAGTCTGACCTGAAAGTGGCTACCAACACTAACCACACCCTTCCTGCCTGCTTTGTTCATTCTTCAGCCAACCCTGGCTTGTGGAAATACTTCAAACCTAGAGTTGCTGGGAAGAGTTTGGCATTCAAGGTACTTTTGACACCAGAGGAACCATCTAGACAAACAACATGGTAGCGTTTCTTTGGGTCGTTCTCAAAGCCCATACATGAGGGGTTCTTGGCACTGCTCTGTTCAAGCATGAAGGAAAGAATTTAGGCATAAGAAGTCCACCAGATTCTGAACAGACAAGATGCAGAAATGCCTGGGCACAGGTCTGGATGAGATCCACTGTGTGGCAAGGGCTCCAAATTCCAAGTTATCCTTCAAAGTGGCATCTGTGGGGCTTGAGCCAGGGAGTGACTCTGCCCAGTGTCCCAGACCCTACCTGCTAAATCATCACAGAAACTAGAGGCCTCACCTCCCTTCCTCCGTAAGTGACACTCTTTCCATCCTTGACAGCAGCAATGATGGGTGCAATGGCGGCTGTCCCACTGAAAGAGAGGTGAGCTGTGAGGTGTCTTCTCTAGAAACGCAGGCATACCTTGGAGTCCCCAGTAGCCTCTGCCCCAACACTCACATAGGTGGCCCAGCCAGATATTCACACAGGTAGCCCAGCCAGACACTCACACAGGCAGCCCAGCCAGACACTCACACAGGCAGCCCAGCCAGACACTCACACAGGTAGCCCAGTCAGACACTCGCACAGGCAGCTCAGCCAGACACTCACACAGGTAGTCCAGTTAGACACTCACACAGGTAGCCCAGCCTGACGCTCACACCAGTAGTCCAGTCAGATACTCACACAGGTAGGCCCAGCTCCTTTGCTTTAAGCACCAGGAAGTTTCCTTTCTTCAAGTGCAGCTGTGACAAAGGGATGCAAATAGAATTTCAGAGGCCCAGGAAGCTGATTTTAATTGGCTTTCTTAGAAGTATATCTATTTTCTGTTGTTTTCTTACAATTCATTGAAATGCAGTGTTTTCAGGTATACAACTAAAGCCCAAATAGCTTTGAACACAGTACTCTATTTCACAATCTTACCTCCCTATGAACTCCTCCATATTCAAGTCAATAACAAGGACCCTAAATATTCTTTGAGAGGAACATAGCACTTGAGCTCTATTCCATCATTCTTTTTTTTTTTTTTAAGTCTTTTTGAGACAGGGTCTCCCTGTAGCCCCAGCTGGCCTGGAACTCACTATGTAGACCAGGCTGATCTTGAATTCACAGAGATCCATCTGCCTCTGCCTCCTGAGGACTGGGACTAAAGGCGTGCACCACCACACCCGTCATTCTTTACTCAGATAAGGACAATCACCTACCCAGCAATGGCCAATCAAGCACCTATTCCAGTGACACAGGAGGAAAACAACAGAGTGGATAGTGGTTTCCTTCCTCCTAGATTGTTCAAATATTCTACAATATGGTGTTGTGGCTTTTGCACTGGACAGAACACAGTCCTAAATTCCCAGCATGCTCTTCTTATGCTAGTAGATACACAAGAAAACTCTGGTAGACCCCCACAATCACCAGCCTCTAAACTTTGGCCTAGCATTTCTGAGATCTCCATATCTCACACATGATAACAAAGTCCAAAATGGAGAAAGATGTTCACAGGTCTCTGCTGAATTATGTTTGAACTTCCCTTTCTTCTTTAAGTCTGGATAAACTATTACATTTACTTACTTTTACTTCCTAAAATTTAAGAAGTTACTCTTGGGCCCAAGTCTTGAATTTGGATCCCAAAGCCTCACTCTCAGGAGTCTAGACTGCCACTGTAGCTTTACTATGTACACATGAGGCGGCACACCAGAGAAACTCAAGTCTGGCTGGCACCTTCAGATGTAAGTGCCAGTGAATGCACTTCTTACCTCATATCAACTGTGTCTGAGTGTTGGAAGGACATGTTTCTATGGTAAGAGGAGCTTGCCTCTCCATGAGCAGGATTCAAGTCAGATACCTACTGCTGTCTGAACGACTAAGAGTGCAGGCAACAGGGAGATTCCAAATGCAAACCAAGGAGGCCCCAAATAGCCGGGTCCACATCCTATCAGATGCCTTTCTCAGACCTCATGCTTAGAGCCTGTTGTCTCTGAGCCCCTAGAACTCAAGCTAGCACAGTATATTGCTTTCCCGCCTCCCAGCTGAAAAGCAGTGCATTTAACTACAAGAGGGAGAGGCTATGTCTGATCAAGGGACAGAAGCCCTCAGAAGTATAGCAAACACAGCAGGCTCAAGGCCAGCCTGGGCAGCCTAACAAGACCCTGCCTCAAAATAAAAGGAGCTGGGGATGCAGCTCGATGGCAAAGTGCTCACTTACATATATAAAACCTTAGGTTCCATCTCCAGCACTGCTAACAAAAAGAATGTAGCAGCAGACAAGGGAGGGGGGCAGGAAAGAATAGTGTGAGGGCCAACAGTTCCACAACTGCTGCCTGATGACAATAAGCCTGTGCCACACAGAAACATGTTCTATCAAGCTCAGGGTAATCTGCTTAGGAAGGGAAGGTGGATCTAAGATAATGCAAACTCTGTTATTCAGTATTTTTAAAAAATTCTCTTTTGCTGCTTAAACACTCAGAAATGCAGATGTAATATGCCTATTGGAATCAGTACTCACAAAGTACAAATGTCACTGAAATAGGACTGATAGTGGCGGTGACCCTATGCCTCATATGACCACTGCCCACTACTATTCATAACTGCCTTCACTCACAGGTGTTAGACTGTGGACCAAAATTCCAAATCGATTTTTTTTCCTTTGCAGTTCTGGGGCTTAAACTCCAAGTCTTTCATATAGTAGGCAAGTGCTGTACCATTGAGCTACAGCCCCAGGCCCCCAAAGGGAGTTAAAAATCATCGAACAACAAAATAAATAAATAAATGACCACAAAAAAATAATGTAGTCTCACCATATTTTGGCAAAAATATTTGTTATGCATTATACCATAATAAAGCTTTAATGTGAAGGCCTGCTAAAAGTCGGCTGTTAGTCACATCTTGAAATAGATTATAATAAAATGTTTAATAAAATGTGACCATTGCAGATTTAGGCCTTGGTGAATGCTGGGTAGTATTAAAATTGACCTGACAGTGAAATGAAACAGAGCTGAAGGACTAGGAATTGTACAGGCCTGATTAGAAGAAATCAAAACAGCTGCCTTGCCATGAAGCACTTCTGAATTCTCAAAGGACCAGCCACTAGCAGCACTGAATGAGAACTTGGAAGAGTATGAAAGCACAGGTGCTATTCTGAGAGGGAAGCTGCTTTTCCTCTCATACAAGTGACCCAGGAGCTGCTTACAAAAGATTCTGAAACACACCACCTGCTGGCCACTAGCAGTGTGCTCACTCACCATTCATATTTCAAAAGATTTACCTTGCAGACAAAAGCTACCACCAAGGACGGGTCCCTGCCACCTGATTTCCAGTTGACACCTGAGGAAAAGCACATTTCACAAGATGAATATGAAGGCTGTACACGCTGCAAACATTGCTATCCCTTCATTTTCTTCACCCATCTGTTAGAGATGTTACAGTCTAAGCTGGAGCTGAAGAAGACCCTGACATGTGACAGACATCTCTTTATTCTTCCTTTTGAAAAAAATATTTTAGTTTAGTTTATGTGCATGTGTGTATTGCCTGCATGTGTGTCTAAGTGCACCCGTGTCATGCAATGCCCTCAGAAGTCAGAAGAAGGTGTTGGATCCCCTGGAACTGGAGTTTTAGATGGTTATTAGCTGCCATATGGGTGCCAGACTGAGCCTGGGTCCTCTGCAAGAGCAGCCAGTGCTCTTAATCACTGAGCAATCTCTTCAGCCCCTTCCTTATCCACCTTGTGTTGACACTTAAGGGAATAGAAAATGCAAAACTCAGCCAGCCTCGGTGGTGTGGGACTATAATCCTTGCCACTTGGAAGCCTGAGGCAAGGGAATCAAAAGTCCAAGGTCAGCTCAGACAACTTGTCTCAAACCAAAAATGAGATGGGGCTAGAGATGGCTTAGAGGTTAAGAGCACAGACTGCTTGTCCAGAAGACCTGAGTTAGGTTCCCAGCACTCATATGGCAGTTCCAAGGGAACCAATGCCTTCTTCTGGCCTCTACCGACACTGCATGCGCCTGGTGCATTTACGTACTTGCACGCAAAATACTCATACACATAAAATATAAATACACATACATACATAAAACACCTTTAAAAACAAAATAAAAACTAAACAAAAGTAGGGCTATAGCTCAGTGAGAGAATGCTTTTCTAGTACACTCTTGAGGTTCCTGTGTTCATCCCCAGCACGTGGAAGGGGGGAAGAAAACTCCAGTAGAAAAGTCTTCAGCACGGCATATAAAATTTAAGCTTAATAGGGAAGACATGAAAAAAATAAGTTGTGATGTGTTTTATAAACAAGTACACAAATATGAAAAATGAACCAATAACTACAAGGCCCGAGGAAATATGTGGGTGTCTGTTTTCTCCCCTTGCCATCCGAAAAAGGCTAGCCAAGGTACTGCCTTTCCTTGGTCACCAGATACAGAAGGAATGCATCGAGCTGTGCCCAACACTGGACACAGGACACAACCTATGACACAGAAAATCTTGTACTTTCCTTTCCTACAAACTCATTTTTTTTTCCTTTTTTTGGTCTTTTTAAGATAGGGTCTCCCTGTAGCCCTAACTGGCCTGGAACTCGCTATGTGGGCCAGGCTCGCCTTGAACTCATAGAAAGTGCTGGGATTAAAGGCATGCGCCACCACGTCCAAGAAGCTGAACGTGATCTCAATGATATGTAGAACCCCCCTCCCCAAAAATCAATCTCACAAAAAAAGTATGCTAGAGATTGAGGGAGTGATGGGATAGAGATGCTAATCAAAGAATACAGTTTCATTTGGGCTGGAAAAGGGTTTAGCAATCTACCATACTGCTTGTGGCCAGTTAATAATGTTTCAAAATTGCTTATGTTAAGTTGGAGATGTAGCTCAGCACATAGGCTTATCTAGCATGCACAAGGCCCTGGGTTAGATCCCTAGCATGGGGGAAGGAGAGGATTACTTAACAGATTTCTAGTATCATCACCACGACATAGTTTAGTGAGATGACAGGTTTGTTTTTGTTTTCTTTCTTCCTTTTGGTCTTTTAGAGAAAAGGTCTCCCTGTAGCCCCAGCTGGCCTGGAATTCACTACGTAGACCAGGCCAGCCTCAATCTCACAGAGATCCACCCGCCTCTGCCCCCAGAGTGCTGGGATTAAAGGTGTGCACCACCACGCCTGACAAGATAACAAGTATGTTAATTACCTTGACTGACCCTCCATAGGCCAATATAGTTCATTGTACCCCAAGATGTCCACCCGCCTCTGCCCCCAGAGTGCTGGGGATTAAAGGTGTGCACCACCACGCCTGACAAGATGACAAGTATGTTAATTACCTTGACTGACCCTCCATAGGCCAATATAGTTCATTGTACCCCAAGATGTACAGGATTACTGGGTCAGTTCAAGATAAGTCTTTAAAAAGAGAACGGCATTAAGAAGTGCAAGGCCTTCCCCAGTTTACCTGCATTGCTGCCACCTGGAAGGCGCTGCTCATTTTCTGCTGATCCAGAATCTGATGATAACTGTTCTGGATTGAGCCTGTGGGGAGACCCTCTCGGACTCTGTGATGGCTGGTGCTCACCATACTTCCGTTCACCTGGGCAGCAGTAGGAAGCCATCACATTACACACCATACAAGATGAACCCATAGCCACAGCCCAGATGTTTGCATGGGAGAACTCCAGAACGTCAATCAAACCAACATTCCTTTTACTACAGTAGTAAATAACTGGCTACCAGCCTGCCCATCTTTCCCTGGCTAGAACCTTACTCACAGAAGGAATTCAACAGTGCTTAGTGACAGCAAAGCATATAGGCTATAGACTAGTTCAGTTATCACCATCATCTGATTAATGTGGGCCCAAAGGTACCTGTCTCCAGAAGGAGAAGTTTTATTGCTATTTAGGTCACAAGATCAAGGAGAAAAAAGGCAACTCAAAACCATTCTATGGCCCGGGTGCCTCATAAGCTTGGTTGGAGTCTCAGTTCTCAATGTCTGTCTCTTAGGTGGGAGTTAGGAGCTTTTATTAAAAAGTCATCAGAGAAAGGCACTTAGATTTGTGGCAAATGAAGCCCAGTAAATGAACATGCCAACTTGAGTGCCGACAGTTTTGGGGCAACAGTGGTTTATGTGATGGTACAAGGCACAAGTACTACCTCGGGCTGCTTCACCCACATTTTCCTTCCTTAAGAACCACAGCCACCTCCTCAGGGAAATCTGGCTTTCATACTCACTGTGGATGGGGACCTGGCAAACGGTCATAGTCTCATCCTTGTATTCTGGTGCAGAGTGTGGCCGCACAGCTATGTGAAAAACCACAGGTCAAGAAAGTGATTGCATTAATAAAAAGTACTACCTCGGGCTGCTTCACCCACATTTTCCTTCCTTAAGAACCACAGCCACCTCCTCAGGGAAATCTGGCTTTCATACTCACTGTGGATGGGGACCTGGCAAACGGTCATAGTCTCATCCTTGTATTCTGGTGCAGAGTGTGGCCGCACAGCTATGTGAAAAACCACAGGTCAAGAAAGTGATTGCATTAATGTGTAAAAATGAAGCTTCAGGATCACCAACCACAGTCAACTGACTGGCCTTAGAATTTTAGTGGGATGATTAAAACCAAGTAGATTAACATCTTTGGGGTGTGAAGGACCCAAAGCAAAAACCATTAGCCATTTATATTTGTCATAGTCAAGTGGAACCATGCTATGATCATTGCATGGTATCTATTAAAAACAAGAAATAAGCCAATACTATACTCAAAAGTAAAAGTCCCAACTTAACAAACAAGATAATGAGGCCAAGAAATATCTCAACTTTGAGAACTGGTATAAATTTTGAAATAAAACTATCAGTGCAGGCCAGGCACATGCCTTTAATCCCAGCACTCAGGAGGCAGAAGAGGCAGGCTGATCTCTGTGAGACGAAGGCCAGCCTGGTCTACATGGCAAGTTCCAGGCCAGCTGGAGCTACAGGTAGACCCTGTCTCATAAAAACAAAAAAGATAAATAAAAACAACAACCTGTCAGTGCTTCTACAAAAGACTAACACTAAGAAACCAAAGGCCCCTGCTGGCTCCAGGAAAAGGCCTCAATATTTATCCTCCCTCGGATCTCCTTCCGTCAAAAGGCTATAGGCCTTCCAGCACAGCTACAGCTGAGGTCTAGCTAGAAACAACCTTCACACCACCTCCTCCCAGGAATTCAAGGCCCCAAGAGCCACTTGTTGGACAGGAGAAGGAGCCTTGCAGCCTGAGTAGTGGCTGTTAAATTCTAGCAGGTAGGCAGACACATATCAGGTTAAAGCTCTCCTGCCTACCTAGTCAGTACTCTTCACCAAGGCACAAGATGAGGCAAGAGAAAAAAGAAAACTGCACTTTCAAATTCCATCCTATGCTGAATGAATCATGCAATTTTTAAGATTTGATTTCAGCCAGTTTTTATTATATTTTAATTTGAGAAGCAGGACTCATATAAGAAGAAATGTAAGAAGAGTTGTCAGTCAAGCACATACCCAGGTCTATTCCTTTCAGTGGACCAGAAAATATTTTGATTGCTTCTAGATATTTTTCCTAAAAAAAAAAAAAATAAGCAAGCAGTTTGGTTTAAATACAGAAGTCAGTAATGTATTCACATAAGTGGAATCATGTATGTGATTCTATTACATGTCAACACAAAACTTAAGTACTTTGTATTTCATTTACACAGGTATTTACTGTGTCCAGTATGATAGATGCACAGGTTTTCGTACAACAGAGATGAAATCTTTGCTCTCCTGAGTGCAAAGGAGGATATGGAGATAAAACAAATACCCAAACAACTTAATAGCAATTATATGCTACTTAGTAGCAACAAATACTCTGAAAAAGAATCACAATGGGCTTGACCTGAGAGACAGGAGCAGCCCCAGAGGAAATAACTTTATAGCTCAGCCCTTGAAGGTTCAGTGAGGTAGGGACCAGAGGACATGGAAGGAACTCAGTGTAGATAAAAGCAGGGGACTGGTAGACAGTGGGTCAGTGCTGGCCCTTGTGGTGGGAGCTTGTTAACACAGATCAAAGTATGTGCAAAGCAGGGCCTGAGGAGGACTATAAAGGGAGCCTCAACTCACTCTAGGTTGGGAAGTGGTACGCTCTATTATGTCATAAAGAGATGGTTCTGGGTGCTATGGAGGGGATGGGAGATGGACAGGTATGAAAGCCACTGTGGTATACAAAGAATGGAAGCTCAAGAAAATAGAGACAGACAGATTTCAAAATTTTGTTGGTGACAGAATAAGATGCCTGAAATTTAATAAATAGTAAGAACAAAACCTATCATTTATAAAGTACTTCCTTGGGACCAAGCATCTAATAGTGACTTAGTATTTTCTATGCCAATTCATTGATTCCTCAATAACCTTATGGAAATTATTGCCATTTTACACATTGAGAAACTGAGGCTAAGAGGCACAGTGGCTCATTCAAGGTCACACAGATGATATTTATGCAACATGAAAGGAGATGTGTTTACTCCACTACCAGCTCTACCTGAAAGTCAGGAGGCTATTTGCAAAACAGGTGTTCTTGTTATTAGCACCTTAAGAGCTAGTTTTGTTAAGTGACTCGAGACTCACCAGTTGTGGAGGTCCAGAAAGTACACACTTGGGAACCCCAGTTTCCTTTAAAGTAAGAATCATTCCTAAAAAGGATAAAAAAAAAATCATCTCTCACTGTGACCTATAGGCACTGCCAGGGAGATGTGTTTACTCCACTACCAGCTCTACCTGAAAGTCAGGAGGCTATTTGCAAAACAGGTGTTCTTGTTATTAGCACCTTAAGAGCTAGTTTTGTTAAGTGACTCGAGACTCACCAGTTGTGGAGGTCCAGAAAGTACACACTTGGGAACCCCAGTTTCCTTTAAAGTAAGAATCATTCCTAAAAAGGATAAAAAAAAAATCATCTCTCACTGTGACCTATAGGCACTGCCAGGGGGAGCAGGGCCCCTCATTTACCCCATTAGTTATGTCCTTATTCTAGCCCCTAAGCAATCATGGCAATGCATAGAGAGAAAATGACAATAACAGAGGCACTCGAGACACGGAGTCTTCCTCACATGCCTCGGGAACCGGCACAGCTGACTGGGATGAAGTAGCAGAAAATGAGCATGCAAAATGGAAGGTGTCCATTCAAAGTACACAAGTGAAAGGATGTCATTTTGCACCCTAGGCACTTCATGTCTACCACCCCAGGCTTAGCTCGGAAAATGGGGACCAGTCCAGCACCTTACTCCTTCCTGTCTACACCACCAAGCTTTCAGAGCCTGGATGCAACACAATCTTGACGTTCTCAGGCAATGAGCTTGCATAATAAGGTAATGTGGACAGTGGGTGTCTGCCTGGAATGCTGGTGATATTTACAATAAATACACTTGCTTTAATCACCACCTCCAATCATACACTCTCTAGTTAAATCTCTGGCCCAACACTTGGAGGCAGTAACCTTTCAGGATCTGCTCAGCTGAGTGCCGCCTTTCATTTCCCTACTCTGACTGGGGTGGCAAGGAATTCTAACTCCCCTAGGCTGGGAAGAAGGGCAAAAGACAGTGCAAGACATTAAATTCCCAAAGAAATCCCATCAGCCTCTGACTCAAAAAACATACTCACCACATAATCCCCCAACATTAGACCAGTGCATTCGAGTTAGAAATATGTTGTCCAAGCGAGCTACTTTGAGTCTAAGAAAAGAGAATACATTTGACTAAGATGAAACCGGCTGACCCAAGACCACTCTGGCTGTAAAAATCACTCTGCCTCTCACCTAGACTTTCAAGCCCACATTACTCTCCACCCCAAAAGTAAAGTGTTGACTCACTTGTATTCCTGCATGAGTCGCTGGATGCCTTCTCCGCAGTTGAAGAGGTACCTAGAGGGGTGTGGGGAAGAGCTTTATTCTGTAAAACCTCTAACACCAATAACGTGATTTACTCTAGACCCAAACAACTAGAACTCCACTGGGCCGTGTTTCTGCTACTGGACTGGCAGGTTTTGAAACCTCCTTAGCAGGAGGACTGAGGAATGAGGGCCAGTACAGGCCGGTGTGGATAGGTCCTTTCCCCAGCTTACCAGGCCAGTGCAGCCCACACACCCAATCTGAGACCCCCACCTTTGGGCGCACGGAGGGTGCGGCTCAGAGCTTGCCAAGAGCACCCCACCCAAGGGACGCGATGCCCAGAAACCATGCGGACGGAGGGCGAGCAGTCCACGCAGGGGCAGGACCCCTACGGCAGCGAGGCCCCGCACACGTGGCGGTAGGGACCGCGCAGGCCACCGAGGTGTCGGGGCTGCCCGGAACGGGCGGCGCGGGGACTGCACTGACCGGTTGTACTCCGAAAAGACGTAGAGCGCGGCGCCCGAGTCCCGGCCGCCCGCCGCCACCACCTGCAGGTACACTGTGTTGGGGCCCCCGGGACTCGCCGGACCGCGCTTCTCCCGCGTGCGCAGGTGTCGCAGCGGGTCTTTGGGCGGCCGCTGCCGACGAGCCGGACACTGAGACATGGTGCGCCGGGCCACCGGGCACAGTAGTGAGCGGAGCGCCCACATGCGCACTTCAGCACCCGGCCTGACAGTGCGCCGGTCAGGACAGTCTACCGCGGGCCGCAAGCACCGCCCCTCAGCCCTGCCCGGCCCGCTCAACCAATCAGCGCGCCCCTGCACCGAACGCCCGCCTACGCCAAGTTGCGCATCCAATCGCAAGGTGCCTGGGCTCTCCCAGCCCGTCAATCATAGAGTGTAGGAGGCTAGAGCGCCGCCAGAGGCTCCGCCCTCTGTCCTACTAGTGGTAGAGGTTTCCGGAAACTGTCATTTCCTTGAGGCGGGACTTCCTGTGTCGCGGTGGCCAAAAAGCACTGGGGAAGGGCTGATTCTTGTTTTAACTCCACAGGAGGCTGGAGTTTTGTCTTCTCCAATCAGGAGAGGTCCCTTGTTCTTGTTTATGGTGACTGTGAGGATCAAATGGGAGGAGATGAATTGAACATTGGCAAGAGAGATTTGGCTAATTTAATTTCCATTGTAATTCTTACGAATACATTTCAAATTATTTAACGATTTTCAGTAAGAAAAGCAAGAGTAGTTAGAAATAAAGAGATTAAGTTTTGGAGTCTAGGGTTATATATTAGGTGAGTGATCCTGACTACTGTGTCTTGCTTTCCCTATCTATAAAATGGGGATAGTTTACGCTACTTAATTTTGGAGAATAGTTACAATTAAATCGCCAAAAAATATATTGCCAGTGGGACTGCTACAAAAGAGACACTCAATAGTTGCAAATTAAACAGAAGAAAATGTTGCAACCTAGAGAAAACATATTTAATTATACAGGAAGTGCCTGTAACTCCAGCATTTCAGAGGCAGAGGAAGGATGATCAAGAGTTCAAGGCTGGGGCTGGAGAGATGGCTCAGTGGTTAAGAACACTAGTTCTTGCAGAAGGCCCCGGATTCGAATCCCAGCACCCACATGGCAGCTAACAACTGTCTGTAACTCCATCCGACAGCCTCTTCTGACCTCCGCGGGCATTGCACAACATGGGTGCACTTACCTACATGCAGGCATTACACATATACACATAAAAATAATAAATTCAAAAAATGTTTTAAAAAGTTCAAGGCCATCCTTAGCTATATAGCAAGTTCGAGGTGAGCCTAGGCTACATGTGACCCTATTTCAAAACACACACATACATATCAGTGTCTGGAAAACTGCAGAAACTGGTCAGGATGGATCCTGAGTTTTAGACCAGCCTAAACTATACATAGTGGACTTTTCATAGCGGATTTAAGTCAGCCCACACCACAGAGTGATGACCTGGAGATTTTACACTGAACCCTCTGCAAGGCTGATTCACTGATTAGAACTTCAATGATTGTGGAGAATGTGGAATGTTACAAGTTCAGAGCCAGATTACCTTGGGGTATCTTTGGCCCTCTTAATAACCATTTATTGCCCTCTGTATGTGAGCTAGTATCTTTGTGACCCTTAGGTAGGACCTTTGTAGTGTACGAACAACCTTTTGCTCTCACCAAGCAAATGGCTAAAAATGCCATCAGATAGCATCCGAGGCCTCCCTGCTTTGCTTTATCCCACCTACCTAATGTTTCCACCAATGTTTTGTAAAAGTGCATTAATTTATTACGGTTTTGTGACTATAAAAACGTCACTAAACTGTTACCATGTTGGAACACAGAATTTGGGATAGCCTGAATCTGTGTTCCCAGGTCATGGTCACTCATATTTAACTTCAAAATAAACTCTTATCCCCTTGAAGTAAAAGCTGTGTCTTTTACTTGACAGGCACCACAAGGTTAAGTGTCACAATATGTGCTATTTGAGAAGCAAAGAAAGACCTGTTTTTTCTTCAGAGGGCCTTGAGGGCTTCTCCCTTAGAGAGATCTCAGCTGAAACCACTAGGAATTCAGGGAGCTCCCTCATACTGGGGAAGTTAGTTACTTGGAAAACTCACTCAAACATGAAACTAGCTGTATGGCCAATTACCTCACAACTTGAAGTAATCATCTCACTGAGGACAGGAAAGTTACAGTTAAGGTTGCATCTTTAGAGAACGTATCCCCTGGGATTACAATACACACTGTGACCTAGCCAAGAATAAAGAGCATTACATTTGTTTGTGGCTAATTAGGATTGAAATCAGGGAAAACACATTCAAGACATGTTGAAAATGTGTTCTGAGGTTTGCTGGGTGTAGTGGCACATGCCTTTAAACCCAGCACTTGGGAGGCAGAGGCAGGCAGATCTCTCCGAGTTTGAGGCCAGCCTGGTCTACATAGTAAATTCCAGGTTATATTTATAGTTATAAACCTCAAGAATAGTAAAAATTATGTTTCAATCAGGAATTTTTATTGGTGTTGGTAAAAAGCTAAGCTCTTTCATAAAAAGGCTATTGGGTGTTGTCTGGTGCTGTCTAACTATCTGAATACCTGGAGGGGCAGAAGCTGTTATAGAGAAGATCAGCAGGGGTTAGCAGTCTCTCAAAGGTCAACTGGATGAAGGCATGGCATTCTGCAGCCCACTTCAAAATTTTAGCCCTGGAGTGTCTTGAGTTCTCTTGACTCCATTTTAAGTGCCCCAAACTAACAATATACCATTTTTATTTTTTTCTCTGACACCCCACCCCCATAAATATTAAAAATAATAAAAAATTGCAGATTCTTTTTTAAGTGTGTTAGGAATTGCCTTAATTCATAGAAGAAGAATCTTTATGTTGTTTTTATTTGTATTCATTTTTTGTGTATTTCATACGGAAAATCATCTTTATAACCCCTTACTCTTCCCCTTTGGCACACTCCTATAGTCCCCCACTGGAGTTTATACATTCTGTCATTTGTGCTAAGGCCTATTATGTAAAGTTAATGTCCCCAGATGTCCCTCAGTGCAAGTTCATCCACCGAGGTTTAATCAGCCCATCTGGAGTCCCTCCCTTCAAGAAGATCAGCTCTTCCTCTCCCAGCAGTGATCAGCTGCCAATAATTCTTTGACTAATATTGGGGTTTGCTGTTAATTTTCACAGTTCTGTGTTCCGCTTTTGTCTGCCTAAGTTTGCATGGGTTTTGTGGATGCTGACACTATTGCTGTCAGTTTGTATGAGAAGGGTCCCAGGAGCCTGTAGAACCATTTCCGGATGGTCATGCTCTTCCTCCCTGGCTCTTACAATCTTCCTGCCTCCTCTTCCACAATGGTCCCTGAACCCTGGGTAGATGGACCTCAATACAGAAGTCCTGTCCAAGGACCCACACTCTGCAGTCTTATTCTCTGTGTTTTGGCCATTTGTGGCCTTTTGTGTTCCTGGCCCTATGTTGCATGAGAGAGCTTCATTGATGAGAACTGAAAGATGCATTAGTGTTCTCTTCATCTCTTGTTCTATGTTCCCTGAGTCTTAGAAGTTGCATCTTAGATGTGCCACTTAGGCTTGGCCAATTCACAGAGAATCTCTGTGCGTGACCAGTGGTATAACTGTAATAATCTCTGTCTGTTGAAAAAGAAGCTACTTTGATGGGTGGTGACTGGGATACTTATCTATAAATTTGAGGATCCATATTTTGCACATAGTAAGAAATTACATTTGTCTAGAGATATGAGAGGTTTTGGGTTCTCTCAAAGATCTATGACCTCTCTAGCTATGTACATTTGGCTAGGTTTACAGTACATGAGTTTCCTCCCACTGAGTGGGCTTTAAGTCCAACTAGGTAGCTGTTGATTACCCCAAGGTAAAAGTGCCACTACTGCACCAATGTTGTTTGCTGTGATGGTCATTGATGTGGTTTTTAGGCCTTGAAACTAGGGTTTGTTACAGTGTTTGGAATCACTGGGAAGGACCACTCAGTCTCAAAAAAGTTCCAAATCAACCAAATCTATTTAGCTGGCCAATTTAGGGAGTGAGCCAATTTAGGGAGTGCCGCTCTAACTGGGAGGAGATGGGATAAAGGTAAAGTCCTTGGTATAAGATTTAAGCTTTTACAATTTTATTAGAATTTAAAAGAAAAATCCTCAGGGGCAGGCAAGCTGGTTACCATGGCAACTGCCTTGAGGAGGAGAATGGAGGGGAGAAGGAAAGAAAGCCATGAAGTCATGCAGGTTTAGTGCCTGCACAGGGGTCAGACATGTGGCTGCCAGTCAGCCACATGGCTGGGAGAAGGAAGCTTTCAAGAAAAGGTAAAGAAATACAAGATGCGAGGAGCAGCCCAAAGCCTTAAAGAAAGCATGTTTAGAAAAGGGATATGGAGAAGAAAAGCAAAGGTTACAGTTTTCTGAAGAATTCAGAAAAGTGGAAAGACTTGCAGATTACATGACTATGGCTAGTCCAGAAGTTCTACCCTAAGAGGCAGGATTCCAGGCAGGAAAACTTCACTATCTCATTAATGTACTAGGCACTCTGTTCATCTATTTAGCATAACACACCTTTCTAGGGGTTGTCCTATGACCAGGTCATTGACCAGTTAAACTTACAGAAAACGGAGGAGCTTGGGCTATCACAGTTTGGACTGTTGATTAATGTTCTCCCTTACCAGCTTGTGTATGGCTCTCCAGAGCTATGAGAGCTAGCCTTCAGGGGAGGTGGCTTCCAGGTCAGTTCTAGCTCCATTGCTCCAAATCCTGTATCCAAAGTATGTCTTGTCTTCAGCAATAGGGAAACAATCAAGGACTGTGGCAATAGCCTGTGTAATTTTGGGAGTCTCTTGGATTACCCTGGTCAATAACTCAAAGGGAGGTTTCTCCTGGCTGGCACTGTTTCTTGTTATGTAGTCTTCAGCCATACTCATGACTCATGTAGGGATATTGTATGCATAATTTTTCAGTAGGTTTTTGGACTAATATGATTCTCTCTGGTTTTTTATACTAGCCGGGCATTATTTATCTCTCCTCTTTCTCTCCCTGTCTTATCCTCCCTCCCTGCCCTTCCCATTTAAAGTGTCCTTGTTTTCCTCATTTCTCCCTTGATAACTTTTGTGTGCTAAGGTCCCACGTCTTTTGAGCTCCTTCTTTCCCTTTATTCCCATAGTTCTCTGTATAGCCCTCCTTCTCCCCCTCCCCTTTAACTACTTTATTTTCACACGTTTCTCCCTTAGTAATACCTGCTCATACTTGAGAAGG